ATATATATATATATATATATATATATATATACATACATATATATATATATATACACCTGTATATACAAATATACCATATACATATAAACCTGTAGAGCCTCACCCCTCCCCTTCCTGAAGTGTTGTAAATTGACAGACAGGAGATTTAAAGTGGGGACTAGAGCTCATATTCTGCTCAGCCCCACCATGGACAAATAGGGACAAATTGGTCTATTGCAAAAATTACTGTTCAAAATTTAATTTCTATCAGTGCCATAACTAGATGAATTGAGTTGCTTAGGCCTTCCTCCATGAATAAATAAAGTGCAAGGAACACGAATACATTATAATACAATGAACAATAGTGCCTGGTTTTGTTCTTGCGGCACACACATAGGCCTATATTTACACAACGTGCAAGGTCTTGTGGAATATAAACAAGTCTTCACAGGATGCAATACGCTATGCATTATGAAATAGGCCAACAAAAAATATGAATACCGTAGAGTTTCAAATAATATACTGCTGATACAATTCTAATTACACTTACCGGTACTTGCCACATTCGGCCTGAAGCATTAATAAATTATTTACAACGCCTTTAGATGAGTTGTACTATCACTTGTTAACAGTTTTTAAATTAATTTCCTGTATGTTTGCTTTTGCTAGGCGTTATACAGCCACACTTTAATTTTAGTCAATTCTTTTCTTGGTATTTATGGCAGACAGATCAGTTATGCCTCCATTGACAGATTAGGCTTACCTGGTGATAAAAATTCAAGGGCGATCTGGCTTTGTTGTGAAAGGGCTAAAGGGCACACGGAAGTACGGAAATATGTTAGATCGGTAACATGGGAACGGGCATATATAGAAAGCGCCACGCTAATATATTTTTAAAAGCACCACTCTCGCGCCGCACTGAAGCCTCCAGAAACTTAAGCGCAGTGCATACATGACACTTGAAGAAATTATTTTCCGATAGCTTTTAGCATTTAACATTTGATTTATTCATCTCAGCATGAAAACAATTTTTGCATATGATCTGTGTATAAAATTTAATAACTAGTCCACCTACTTTAACTATTATTCATGTACAAGATATGTAAATTAATTATCAACAACTTTACTAGAATTATCTTGCAATAAATTATTGAAAAATGGTAATTTTTATATCATATTATATTAAATACACACTATCTAAATTTGCACATGTTCAGATAAGCCTCTGAAATTCACAATTCTGAAAAATACAATTTTTGAACATTTTGTTTCATTAATTAATTTGACACAAAAATAAATACAGGTCTCCAAAATCAATAGTTTATAACTAAAATTAGTATTTCAAAAATAATTTTAATATACATTTCAGTTAGATTAAGTAATCGATATTTTGCAGAAATGTTCTTCAAAATATCCTTCTCTTATAAAATGCAAAAACATGTTCAAAATTCTGATTCTCGTACGTTTTTTATTGCTTGCGGGAAATTAGAAATTGCGACAAACAGAGGGTTTTGCACGAGCCAGTCACATTTGGTGTCTATTGTCCATTTCAATCAACATTGCACAATCTAAGTATCATGCCTATTAGGACCAATAAAAAATATTAGTTTATCACCTTCGCCCCCATGTCTTCTATGCTACTGGAAAAAAAATTATATTTGGAAAAATAAAAAATAAATAAGAAAAAAATTTTTTTTTTTGGTCATTTTATTTAGTAAATAGTTAGTAAGTAGATATTGTTTGTATTATCTCAATCATGTATATTCCTTTGAATATCAATGCACCAGCAAAACAACCCAAGGGTGATTTGGCCTTAGCAAAATAAAAAAATAAAAATAAAAAGCCTCCCTTCACTTTTCCCGCCTAGATAGGGGATAAACTAATACATTTTGTTACTGGGCCTATTATAGCTGCACATAACATGACAAAACACTAATGAGGTAAAATTACATGTTTCCTGTCATAGATTAGAAAAATATCACATTTCATGAAGCATATCAACATACATACATACATTATGTTTAGCAAAGCCAGTTCTACTTTGGCAACATTATATTTTGGCAATAGTTTAACCTTGGTCGAATGTATTAGTGTGAGAACTACGGTATGGGACTACTGCAACAATAGATATGAATGCTGTTACTTCAATGAAAACTTTTTTTTTTTTTGTCAAAAATCTATGTACGGTTTCTGTTCTTTTTCTTCCCCATGAGCATATTCAGAAGGATACTAACTATTTACAAATGTTTATTACTATAATTATTATTATTATTATTTAACTGCAAGTACCACTAGATGTGACTGATACCTTCAAAGAGTATAGAAAGAGAACAGGGCACAGCGCTGTTTGAAAATATATTGCAACCATAGCTACACCATATGGAAGCCGACATCATTGTCATGGTAGTGTGCTGCGGTGTGGTCATCTGGTGATCTAAGAATATATATAATAGTGGCCGATTGAAGTCTGATAGTGCCATTTCCAGCTATCTTGAGGTGCCATAATCATAATTATTGTCTTACCAGTTGTATAGACCCTTCACCTGTAAAAATTCCTCTCCTGGCTCCCTCTATTTCAAATTCCTGGATCTGCAACTGTATAAATATCTCCCGATACAAAGGAACTGTATAATGTTGATGATACAAAAGATAAACAACTAATTCTGATGGATACTACTAGGTAACTTAAAAGACATTCCAATGGCAGAAGGCATCCTTCCATAGCTGCGTATTTGGACGTATCGTTCATTTATGCTCTAAACAAGCATACTGTGCTCTCTACCCTTTCTATATACTTTGTTAGTTTACATAAAAGAACTTCTAGATTATAGATGCCCTAAACAAGCATACCGTGCTCTCTACCCTTTCTATATCCTTTGCTAGTTTACATGAAAGAACTTCTAGATTGAAATAGCAGTCTATGAAATTAGTTCAGCGGAGTATTTTTAATAAACGCGGTAAACATTTTCAAGGCTTGTGCTGGCTTGTCCTGAGGAACCATGTGACCGGCACCCTTGATGGTTACCAAGGTAACATTTGTGTAGTCTTGTACAAAGCCAGCAATTTGTTTATTGGACACCCACTCTCTGCGATCCCCAGATTTATCCAGCTTCAGTGATTCCACAAACCATTCATCGCCGAGGAAATTACAGGCCATGTCGATGTCACCATTGTATACCATTATGCGGTAATGCTTGACCAATGTCTGGTATTGATTATACAATGTTTGGTATTTCCTCACATATTGAGCTCCTACTACACCACTAGAAAGGTAAGACAAAAAAAAAAAAGAATGTCTGTGAGGCTCAATAAACAACTACAAAGAAATTGTATTTAAAGTCGGGCTCCGGAGGAAATCCTTTTTTGTACAAATTATTTTTCTAAAACACATAAAGCATGTTAGATAACAAATTTGGGAGCGGTTAATGAAATACAGATTTTTGAATATTTAAAAACTGGGGGAAAATGGTGGAGAGAAGGGTGGCGGTTGCAAGTACTTATCACATAAGATTGATTTTTTTTCACTATCGTAAAGTTTAAAATTAATATCTTTACAAGATATTCATAACTCCCAACAAGTTTTTTCAACATCCGACTATTTCCCCTTGTCACCATTTTTTAATATACGCACAAGAGACCAACTGCTTAAACGTCTCTTTCCAAAAGATGGTCTGCTATTCGAACTTGCATATCAAAGCTCAAGATAAAATACAAGATTGACAGACAGAATTGAACCGGAGACCAAAGATGTCTACAGGCTCAGCTGCTCTGTATGAAAAACCTTACAGTATATGCTTGGCTTTAGACTCACCTACAGATGTCCCAGTCTTGTACGCTAGTTGGAATGTGCAAAGCCTTGCGGACATCCGGGTTGTTGAGATAAATTAAGCTGGATGTTACATTTACACAAGGTGGTGTTACTCTTAACTTGGGCGGCTTCTTGATCTAGAAAAACATCGACAATTATCAATAGCAGCATTTAATTCTATTCATAATCTTCTATTCATCATTTCTTTCATTCATCAGTGGCAGATCCAGGAATTTGAAATAGAGGGGACCTAGGAAGGGACTTCCACAAATAGAGGGACTAGACCACCTCTGCCTCACAATGGTTGGGACTGAGGAAAGAAAATTTATGATTTTGGCACCTCTAGATGGTTGGAAATGAGTCTCAGACAACTTTCCTTTTTTTCTCCATTATTAATTATAATTCTGAAAAGTTTAGGGGGGAAAGGGGCCTGGGCCGACTTGGCCCACCCCCCCTGATTCTGTCACTGATCATAATCATAATCAACATGTGTCAGTAAATGACATCATGATCTTTTTTTTATGGTGCTTATTTCTATCATAATCTGTCACCATCATCCAATATTATATGATCTGTATTTACATTGATACGGAAAACACTTCATTCACGGAGTAGGGGAAAAAACCTAATAATAAACATAAGATATAATACTTACCAATGGAGTGTATTTTATCTTGTAATTTCTAAACAGGTTTGACATCGCGACCTTGAACACAGTCGCATGCGGAGGAATGCCACCGGCACAATCATCATAAAGGTTGTAGATGTCCAAACCAATATTGTACACAATATTCATTGCTTCGCCGACCTAATTGATACAAATGTACTCTTTAACATTTGGTAATAAATGATGTGATGTCGTAGGGCTAGCAAAAATTTAAAAAAAATTATGATTAAGTTCATACTATGGGGAACACTCTCTCAAAAAACCCCCCTTCTTGAACCATAGGTTCTCAATGGGCACATAAAGCACCCCTACAGAATCATCATGGGTCCATCCCTGACCACCACCACCACCATCATTCATCATCAGCCCAATAGCTGTTTAAAATTGCCCTAAATGCTAGGGGAAGCATAGCTACAGTGGCCTCAATGGCAAAGCAGTGCTCACAGTGGGGATAAGTGGCAGGGCACAAGTTGGGGACTGGGGGTTTAGGAGGAAACCCCCTCAGGAGCTATGGCCTGTTAGGTATTTACTATGTCTACAGCAATTTAGGCGTCCAAAATGGATCACTCGTTTTATCCATTTTTTAATTTAAGTTACCCAGACCCTTTCCCAGCTGTTTCCCCCACTCTGCTCGGTACTACTTACCACCACCACCATCATCACAATTAATCTATTACAGTACTATTAATATCATCACTATTATTATCAATATTTGTCATATAATATTATAGCTGTTTTTACATGATCCTTTATTACTATGCTTCCACCTATTTTGCATAATCAATGTAATTATATGTGATAATTTTTTTTATGAGCTTAGACTACCAAATTGAATTTGATTATTTAAAATGATTACTTTTTATAACTCAAATATCAATCACACACTAATAGCATAGGTAAACACTAATTTACATTTTTATTGTATTTGAGGTATATTGAAATCCATAAAAAAAAACATTATTAGTATTAATGCTGGAGGTGCTGGTAGCAAGTATTATTTCATTACACATTTCTCCTCAGGTAATTTTAATTTGCATAATGTATTAACAACCAGTAGAATAACGCTTTCATTAATCATGTTTTGATATTCAAAAGTATTTTATATAGCCCTTTCCTAATACTGGTTTTATGTTTTTTTTAAATATGAAATATATTTATCAGAAAATTATATTCAAGTGAATATATATTAATAATTTAAAAAAAATGTTTAAAAAGTTTGTATATCAAGTTTCCTTTTTTCATATTATTAAAAAAAATTAAAATATTTTATATATTTTTCCCTTCCCTTTTCCTATTAATAATTTTATATTTTTAAATATGAAAAATATTTATTAAGCCTAATTGAATATATTTTAATAATAAAAAAAATATGTTTATAAATTTGTACATATAAATATTTAATTTTTTATATATTCAAAAAAATTAAAATAAAGATCTATTTTATCTTTTACGAAATATTTTTGTATAAAAAAATGATTTTATACATTTTTAAATTCGCTGATTTGTTACGTTGATAGTTTTATGTTAACCTACCACGAGGGAGCATTGTGGTTGCGCGTTGTCATGGAAATTGCAGTAGGAAGCGTTGCAACAGTAACATTGAAGCTGGCTCCATAAACTATCAAACAAAAATAAATTATATAATTATTACAGTAATATCAATAACAATTAAAATACAATAATAGGTATAATAATGTTATAATAACAATACTACTATTAATAATACTAATACTTTACAGTAACAATAATAATCATATTATTAATTTAGTAATATAAACTACCTACTCAGTTCCAAATAATCCATGGTAGTACCCAAAGTACATAAGGGAATTATCATTAAGAGCGTAACTGGATAAACCATTACCAACAGCAAATCCCTGTAAAATATGGAAAATGTGTTAATGATTAAAAATTTGTACTTAAATTATACTTAATCTTGGAGTAGCTATATTTTGCAGGACTGACAACTTTAATTAACAACAATGACAACACCACCAACAATAAAAACACCAGCGGCAAAACACCAGCGACAACACTGATGAAACGGCAAAACAACAAAAACACCAAATAAATTATTTAGAAATCAAATTAGTTTATGTATCTCTTACAAAAATATTTTTTCTCTCTGATTTCCGAAGTTTAGTGTACCATATTTTATTTTTAACTCTTTGGCAATATTCAACACTGCAAATTAGCTCTACAAAATTAATTAATCTCTCATATTATAGTCAAATTATTAAATGCAAGATTCCATTCCTCATTACAATCGCATACAAAAAAACCAACAGGGTATGAAAAAAAAATGAATATACTCTAAAATCACTTAAGAGCAAATTTCACATTTTATCTTAAGCTAACTATACCTGCATGTTAATGGTAGCATTTCCCTCCAGTATTCTCATAGACAACGTAGGAACGTAAACCCCTCCGTAACTTTCGCCAGTTACAAAAAATGGATTCTTGCTAAACTGAGGAAACTTGGTGAAGAAATCTTGAAGAGCAAGGTAATTATCCATTGAAACCTATCAAAACAAAATGAAGGTTAATTATTATTAAAATAAAAGCCCTGAGCTGCCCAGACTATTAATTTCTTCATGACATCACATCAATACTATATAAAGGCACATGACTATATATGGGCATACAACAGTTCTTTTTTCAAATAAACTTACCTGGGCTTAACAGAACACCATCGAGGGTAGTCCCAACCCATCTTTGATTTTACTATTTAATGGTTTCACTTTCCATATCCTTCTATGTATTATTGTTTCGTTTCACTTGTATACGTTTGTTGCTTGTTAAATATATTGAGCTTCAAATCATCTAACTTTTGTTGCACTACTCAGGGATGTAGTTATGGTGGGCAGGGCCTCCCAGCCTTGAAGTTTTCCAACCAATCTAAAGCTAATTATATTTCATGGCCCTCCACCAACCTTTATCAACCCCTATGTCCAATATTTAGAGTTTACCAATGTTATCACACACTCACGATGTGTCTACCAACCAGAGATTTCTACAGCTACAACCCTGACTACTTTTAATTTTAATGAGTTATGCTGTTGAAGTGCGATAACAGAATGTTTAATGTAGATTATCAGTACAGTATGTTCACGATACCTGGTCATCATCGGTAGTGTAATTCTTATCATCCGAGTAAGAAAATCCAACTCCAGCTGGTGCCTCAAGGAAAATGACATTAGCGGCATTATTCCAGCTGTATGGATTCATGTAAACAGTTTTTCCGTCATCTCGCAACTGAAATTTCCAAACATGTTATAGATTAATAGGATGAAACAAAAATGTACATAAATTATGATGATTCATCAACACACACGAAAACAGGTAGGTGGAGAAGCTAAACTACTTATAACAGGGTTTTAAATACTCTATTTAAAACCTTGTTTCTCTTTCATTACACACAGGATAATATATACTCTCGGTTAAACACCGCAGCACTTATTCAAGAGCGGCGCTCAGCTAAAAAAAATCAGGTTTGGTACGGCGCATATTCTAGAGCGGCGCTTATTCAAGCATTCATGGTAGACCTGGCCTACCATGTATCATATAAGAATTAGTTTAGCTTGTGTGATATGACAAAATAATTTTTTTTTTCCCAGGTTTAAGCCTAGTCCCTACTTAATGCTCAATTTTACATACAGTATCAGCATTTCCTTGGGGCAGAGAGATATGTTTTGAAAGAGTTGCTTAGAAAAAATAGACTTGAAAATTAGGCATGCAGTACTGAAAAAATGCCTTTTGATTCTAGGGGTATAAAAGCCCACTGCACGCCCCACAATTGGCCAAATTTTGTGTTGAAGGGGGGTGGCTTATCAAGAGGAACTATGGAGCAGCATGAGTAATATGGCACTCTCAGAACATTCAACCATAGCCTGTATGTGCTTCACGTACATGAAATGGTCCAAGTTCGGATAGCAACCCATCAAGAGAACTGCAGCCTGGTCCGCCATTCATCCACAGGACTACTGGGTCAGTTTCCGGTTCAAACTGCGACTCAACAAACCTTGCGATCGAAAAATAAAAAAAAAATTAGAATAAGCTGAATGCTATTACGGCCCATTAATGACTATTTAAAGAAAGCACAACAAAGGTGCAAATTTATCACCTGAATGTTATGGAAAAATGATTGAATATGTTTTTTTTTTTTTTTTTTAGTTTGAGTGATTAAGTCAATAAATTAAGAAATAGCGGAGATCAGAAGAACCATGTCAACTTGATTCTTTTGTCAACCAATTCAAAGATACCACGAACATTCAGAAAAGATTCTTCATTTCACCCACAAAATAAATTTAAACACCATAAACATTAAATTAATTTAACTTTGAATTACTCATATAAACAGAACCATATAAGATATCAAACCTTTCAATAATATACAAATTAAAAGAAATCAATTTTACAGATGTTTTACTACAAAAATTCTTAATTTGCTACCAGACGAGAAAATGTCGTTATCATTTTAATCTGAAAGCCAAACACATCTTAAGTAAAAAAAATACTAAAATTCTAAAGTCGTCACCTGAAGTACAAATGCTTAATGCTTTTATAATTTTTGGAAATGAAATTATTAATAATGCACACATTACTACAGTAATTATACACCGACGCATATGCCATTCTTTTATGCACATTTCTTTATTCTAATTTTTATTTTGTTTGTCTGGGTATTAAATCAAATTTCCATGATCTGAAAAGTAAGCGACCCACCAAGTCGCGACCCATAGTTTGCAGAACTGTGGACTAATATATATTAAAATGAGAATATACTGTATTCGATATAATGAACGTACATAATATACAGTGTACATAGGCAAAATAATACAGTGTTGTGTACATAATATAACAATGAGACTACAAATGAACATACATAATAAAATGTGGCAAAGACAAGCGAAACCAGTCACTAGTCGCAAAAATCAATTTTTAGTTATTAATACAGGGTTAACCAGTAAAATGAGAGCTATAAAATGGTAAACGAATCATTTAAATCCGAGATTTCATTATGAAGTTACAGGAGTTGAAAATACAGCTGTCCAAAAAAACAGTATTTGAGAAATCAGTCTTCAAAGTTTATGATTTCAAGCATTTCTCATGACAAAATTTTTAAAAATGGTTGTTTTTACGTTGAAAATGGGGAAAATAACAGCACAGCATGATGTATAGAAGGGTTAGTTTAGTGCAATAAAAAAGGTTACAAAAATGTTGACTTTCCAGTATGTTTTGGCCATTATCTCTAAAATACCGGACTCTAAAACAGGATTTGCAACGAGTGACTGGTTTCTCTTGTCTTTGCCACAAATAATGAATGTAATATAATATTTATGTATGAAAAATGCAGGCATATTAAATACATAACAAATAAAATTACATAGGGCCTAACTTACTGTAGGCCAAGGTTTCTTTTTTATGTTGTCATCAAAGGGGAACCCGAGATTAGCTCGGCTTTTCGGTTGGTCCTCATCTAGGATGCGTATAATAATATGGCCATGGTGAAATAAATTTTTTGATTTGATTTAGAAATAATTAATAAAATAATGAATGTAGTACTTTGTCATACCATGGAGTACATACAATACAGTACATATTGACCTACTGAAAGAGCAATAGGCTGGTAGCCTAACTAGAGGGAGGGCTCCTTGCATTTTGGATGATTGTTTTTTAAATACTAGGCCTAGCCTAGAACAAGATTGTTTGTTTTATTTTTTTAATAAACTTAAATTCTCAATGCCATTAAGACTACAAATAGCTTTGAAATAGTATTAAACGAAACGTCAATAGATGGAAGTACCAACCAGTAATGCAACTTCTTTGTTCCACTAGCTTTTAAGTAGCCCGAGTAATGCTTGAATTTAGGCTGGACAGCCAGACCAGGCAGCGAAAGGACTTCGTCAGGGTTGCTTCCTTTTCCGCCGCGTAGGCCTAGACCTGCAGAGAACACTCCGGCTAGGCCTACTACTAATATCAAAGTTATACAAAACCCATTCATTGAACTCATTGTTCTGCAAGTTCTGCTTTAATTCAAAACTCTATTTATGAATTTTAAAGCACAAGGCCTATAATAATTAACTTCTTTCTAGTCTAGTTTTCCACCATGAGTGAGTCGCCTCAGTTTTATGATGATCCGGTGTGTGTGTACGTGTGTTTGTGCGCTACACACGTAGGCCTACACTGGCTTGATCGGTCAGGTGGTTACTCCATAGCACGTGATGTCATGTGATGTACGATAACGTAAGAAAACTTCCCACGGCCCAATGACATCGTTCTGCAAGCCGTGAAATTATCATAATCAGTGAAGGGTCGCACCGCACCCAGGATTGCTATTGGGGTGGGGTGCTGGGGAGGAGGGCTATATCAATTTCTACCTTTTTTCACAGCAACAACAATGTGGAATGGCCTTACCAAACCGTATATTCAAGAAATAAGTGTTGGTATAATTTTAAACTTCGGGCCTAGTAATTAGGGAACATTTTTAACAAACTAATAATGTTTTATTATTAGGCCAATATCGCCATTTTCAGAAAAAATATTTTATATTAAAACGTCGATAAATATTCTCAATGTAATTGTTCTTAAAAAACTAAAAAAAAAGAAAAAACTAAAAAAAAAAAAATTAAGAACCACATAGGCCCCGGCCCCCCTTTTGGGAGGTGAAAAAAAAAGAAGAAAAAGAGAGAAAAAGAAAAAAATGATAGCCCAGAATGCCTCAAATGTTATGTTCGGGCGTCTAGAACATACAAAATTCGCGGGGGCTTGCCCCCGGACCTCCTACAACACTGTTGTCTCAATCGGCCCAACTTTCGCCCCGCCTTCCGCCTCCCCCTTTTGGACATTTCTGGATCCGCCCCTGTTCTGTTTATGATAATTGAAATGTATTAACATGTTGGTGTGTCTTATCGTCTCAATTACTAATAACTACCTTAATTCAGTTTTTTTTTTTTAATAGATTGGATAATAATTGGAGCCGGAGGGTCTTAATCTTGAGGGTAGCAGTGTGTGACAAGTGGCTGTGCATTAGTAACTAATTTCTCATACCATGGAGGAATGTATAATAGGCCTACTTCATAGTATCAAGGACACGCAAAATCAGTATATTATTATATTTTTATCTCGTATTGTACTGAAGTAAAATCATGTGCATAATTACGCATGCGCACTTCGAAGTCGTATAAGCGCCGTGGCGCTTTTTCGAGATTATTCTATTTTGAATCGAGAGTACATGTGTGTACGGTAATAAAACACAGAAACAGGGTTTTAGATACAATGTATACAGTATTCAAAAGAATAAATAACACACTGAGGACACAAGCATATCTTTATAAACCTACAATGAAACAAGGGGCGATGATGTAGGACATGTGAGGGAGGATATGTGATAGCGGCTCTATTTATTTATTCAATGGAATCACCTTTATATCGGTGGCACACGTCATTCAGTGGGGCATCCACATTACAAAATACAAAATTATACAAATAACATATTAAACTACAGGGAAAAGAGAAAAGTTCTAAATTCTGGCAAAATACAAAAGATACACCTAGATGAGGGCGGCGCTTATCGAAAAGGTCCATTGCAACGTGCTGCAGGTCCATTGCACGACGGTAGACAGAGGAGGACGGTAAATAGAACAACATATTAATCTGTGCATGCGTATAAGTTCCTACCCACCATACAGAACGGTTTTTTCTCGATTTAATGTTCGGTCTAAATTTATGACGGATAGCGGGAACTTTGAGGGCATTTGTGTACGAGACCGTCTCGTGCGTGGGTGGTCAAAACAAGTTTTCACGAGGACGGGAGATGTCCGTAAAGGTCTGTTAACTATCCGTACCCATGCATTGTCTACCATCGTGAATCGAAAGCTCTCTGTTGGCGCAGACCCACGGTGTGTGTGCTGATATAATTCGACGATAAAATTATTTAGTTTTGCTTTTTTGTAATTATTTTCTAATTAAGAATTACGAAAAAGTATTTTCTCTTAGACATTAATATCACTTATTTTTGTTGGTCAAATAGGTCTATTTGACCTTTCCGCCCGTTTGATAATTTTTGCTAAGATCCCAGAATCCGACAGGGCACGGTAACATTCCGAGCACGTATCTTGTACAGGAGAAATAATAGCCAGAGATGATGTTGATTTCAATGCTATTCATTCTGATAGGAACTAGGATCTAGGAATTATGAGAATTATATAAGACAATCAAAGAATAAATGAAACCCCCAACTTGACCGGGCATCTGAAAGTCTGCATAAAATCTATAGGCACATTACGACGCACACATTTAATTTTTTCATAAATTGATTTCATCCATACCTTTCATTTCAAAACATCTTCTTTTCTGTGAACCCTCTCTTCCCCTGAAAAATGTTTGTGTCATTTAGAGATCATTTTATCTTTGTCATAATGGAGTAGGCCTACATGCTCTTTTCCCTACAGAGTATGATTTGCACTCTTTTGAAAATGTTGAAAACGATTAATGTCCTTACTTGGTTAGGGTTATCGGCCATATCGAGAGGTCAAAGGCCATAATAATGTTATAATACAATGGGAATATTAAGTTATTTACCAAATTAATCAAGGCCTATGTGTATTATCATTTTCCATCTCACTTATTGTGACATAAATTCCATGTTCATGCAGTACTTTGTCATTAATATTAGATTACTGACATGGGTTTGTGATATTTTCAGAAGGGTTTGAGAAATTGTTTGAGAAAACTTCGTTTCAGAAATAAATGGTTTTTTGAATTTGAACTTGAACTTGTTAATTTTTCCGGATATTTCGTAATGATGGAAAAAAGTGCAGAGCCCCTAGTCCAATCACATTGGACAGTCACACTGTCGCTTAAGTTAACACAACCCTTCCTCCATTTTACATATTCATTCGCATACAGTGCCAATTTTAGAAGTATCACGGAGCAACGTAGATAAAACTAAGGTAAGATGGTGCCGACAATAGCTAAGATTTAGAACAGACGATGTTGTTTTGTTGGCAAACGACGAAAATTATTTGAGGGAAATGCTTAACTAAGCTTTTGAATTTGCAAGGGCGTGGAAACTAAACTTTAACCACGACACCTGAGTCGAGGGTTCTTATTGTTGGACAAAACAGCACGTAGATAATTCCAAGAATTGGAAATTACCGTATGTGAACAAGATATTTCAGAAGTTGAAATAAATAGGCCTACTAATAAATATCTTGGTACCCACATATCACGAACCATCTCGGATCATTTTCATATTGGTCAAAATTTAAATAAAGGTAATAGATATATCGCATATATCAAATCAATTTGATCGATTTGATAATTTTAATCAAATATTTTATGGCGATGTTTTATGGAAAACAATTGCCCGTAATAAGGATGAGAAAGTTTAACTGACCGTTTTCAAGAGATAAAACCATGAATTTTGAAGTCGGGAAAGCTCATTTCCCGCCATCGAGGAATCAAAATTTCCCCGGACCACCCTTTATTTTTTTTTGGTTTTTTGGAAACACTTTGATCCTCCCTACTAAATTTGAACCCAGATCCGCCCCTGTTAGGTCTGTACTTTCAGTAGGCCTAAATGTTATCTTTTAGTGGTGATCCGTATTTAGCTGCAGTGTTCACGATTAATTAATCACTTTATTACATATTATATAGCACAAAGTATATACGATATAAGAGAACGGTATGGCACGAACGAAACAGACTCCTCGAAATCAACTGGCAACGAAGGCTCCAAGGAAAAGTGTGCCGTCTAGCGGAGGTGTTAAAAAATCCCACAGATATCGACCAGGTGAGTGAAAATGCTGGCAGTTTTTGTTGCGTTGCGTTTTTTGTTGTATGCAGCGGCAGTAGCAGGGGTGGGGGGATGCAAACGGTGAAATCGCTCTCCCCTAAATTGTATTAAGACAAATAATTGTTGCATTATATTGTTGATATTAATTACTGGTAAGATTTTTAAGATATGAGAGTGCGATTTTCGTGGCACCTACAAGCCCATATTTTAAAAAATGTTCTTACCTCAGCCCCAACCATGTTGGGCTGAGGTGGTACGTGTGGTTGGGTCTGAGGTGGTACATGTACTCCCACGCACCCCCTACCGCCAAATTCTGCATCTGCCCCAGGTACATATGCAAACAATTTATGATTGTATTTTTTAATTTAAAGGTGCACTCCTGGAAATTAGACGACACCATGAGAAGAGTACCGAATTATCGATTGGCAAGCTAAAGAGTCTCTCACTTGTTCACGTCTTGCTTTATATTTTATTAAATTGATATCTTCGGGTCTTCCGGCATTCCTTTCGGTCTGTCTGTCCCTATGTTTAAAACTTTATAAGTATACTCAATGCCTTCACGGTGCACCCATGAGAATTACGTGGCGAACGATTTTAAGTAATATAGCGCGACAAATATCAGTAAAAAATTATTTTAAAAATAACTTATTTTATTTCAGTATTCAATACCGAATTTTTAATGACTTAAATAATAAACACAATAAAGTATACGAAAAAAATACATATTTATAAATAAGTTGCAGCCCCATGGGACTGGCTCTTTAATCTCAAAACAACTTTATCGCTATTGTATATTAGGAAGGCATCACAGCCTTACGAAAACGATACTATCATTAACGAATACGTCATGTTCATTATCGTCATTCGTAGCTAAAGCATTCTTTAATACGAGCTGAATATGGCTGGTTTGACTAAAAAATTTAACGTAACAAAACAAAACACTTATACAACAATTCTCCTACATAAGCATATATGTCACAACGCAGGCGACTTATGCCTTTTACATGAATCAAGGATCATATTGAGATCATAACAGCATACTGTAAAAATGTTTTAAGCACGAATGACGATAACGACAATGATGTATTCGTATTCGTAATGGTAAGGTTGCAAAATCTCCCTATTATCACAGCCTTACGAAAACGTGATACGGTTACATCATGGAGAAAATTTTATTTTCTCCATGGTTACATCATACATTTTAAACGGTTTACAATGCGAGAATTCGTTCGAAATTAATAAATTTGTTATGTATTTCACGTACTTTCTGTATTTCTCTTCCCCCTGGTGAGTTTTTTTTGTTTTTGTTTTTTTTGTTTTTTCACGAATAAATTGAATTGAATCATTTAAACTTACCGGTATTTATTTTTTAGTCGGACCTGGAATCATGTCATACAAGTATAACAAAAACTGTGATGATCTTGTGTTTGGTCCTGGACTAATATGTCTCTTATAACAAAAATAGGACGTGACGTATTCATGTTTCTTTATTCGTTTTCGTAAAGTTCCGAAATCTTCATTACCAACGATAAAATTATACTTTTTAAATCCAAATATAATTATTATACAAACCTACTATTATTATCCCTTATGTATAAATAGTAATCATGACTGTAGGGGCATACAACAGTGTTGTGTCAAAAGAAAATGTAATAACCTGGACAAAGAATTTTCAGTTATATAATAAAGTCCATGAGATTTTTATGTTCAAGGCAAGATTTTGGTATTTTTGGATACCGCAGTATATGTAGAATCCAGCTAAAAAATGGATTCTACGTATTGCGGTTTCCAAAACCAAAATCTTGCTTTGAACAAAAAATTACATACCTATGGAACCCCACTATATAAAAAAAAAACAAAAGAAAAAAAACCCGATACAGCCGCATCTGAGAGTGTGGTATCATTATGAAATTGGAAATTCAAAGGAAAAGAAAAATCCCCTTTTCAATAGGCTTACTGTACTTTCAGTAGATACTATCTCCTAATAGGCCTACTCAAAAATAATAGTTAACTGAAAGCAACAAACGGACACCGTATGGGTGGTGTGTCAAGGATATAGGAAATGTTTTGAAAGACAAGGCTATAAATAGGCCTATCGATATTGCACCAAATTAAATAACTTATTTCCTCACCAACGTGTAATCTCTTTAGACAAATTTATATTCGTGAAAAACGTAATATTTCTATGGTCTAGTCGAGATTAAACAAATTTTGTTGATTTAGAGGTCGTTGACCTAAAATTTAACATAAGCCTAACTTTGATCGAAAACATAATATTGTAATAAAATAATAAAACAATACAGATATAACAGAATAATAACCTAAAAAAAAATCTATGAGTACTTTTTGTTCAGTTGTCCTAGAAACAAATTCGTTCGAAGTTCAACGCATTGCCAATTATTCTTAACATTTTCTAGAGTTTTAAAAGCTTCCAATGTAAATTCATACCCTCCCCTTTATGCCCCTTCGACATGAAAACACCAACTGAACATGGTATATTCCACTATAAATAAAGTTGGGTCAACTCTTTAGCTAAAATGAGTGGATATTTCTTGCGTCATCAAACTGAAGCTCTAAAGTTCTACAACACTATCAAAAGGTATGCCCATATCAGGGTGTAATATGACATCTCATGCCCGTCACACAAATCTATTACATACAATTTGATAGTGTGAACTGAGCTCTAAGTGAAACCAGGGGTGGCGCCAGTGGGGCGGGGAGAGCTTCCCCGCCTCCCCCCCCCCACGCCACCGGGGAGAAATACCACATTTCGTTGGGGGGGGGGGAGGATTATATGTATTTCTACATATTAGTTGACTTTAAAATCGATTAAATATGCATTTGAAACCCACAAAATTGTCAAAAATTCCCCATCCTCATCCCCAGGACCAATTTAGAAGAATTTTCAGCAACGACCAACCACGCCCACTTTGCTCTTGTTGAGGACATCGGATCTCCGTCGGGTAAATCGTGGCGCCACCCCTGAGGGAAACCCGATAAACGCGTTTCCATTTACATAGCATCGAAATGAAATCTATGTGATTCCTGTCTCTTCTCCTTGTCGTCTTCTCTCTGGATGAAAAGATAACAATTATAAAACATCAAAACGATTATAATATTGTAATAAAATAAATAATGAATGAATAATAAGTTCTGTATGAAACAAATACCGAACTGATAATAAAAGCCAATTTTATTCAATATTTTAAAATTTATTAGTTCATCTTCACAAATAAATTATGTACACAATCTGACTTACTTTTATACAGTTGTACCAATTATGTAGAAAATAACCAATCAAATTGCAGAGATCACCAACCAATTATATTAAAAGTATTATTTACTTATGAAAGAGGTTAAATGAGAAACTTACAAATAATAAAAAAAATGATCCATGGAGACCAAAAGACTAAAGATTGGTTGAATATTACACCACAACCGTCATCACCATAATCGTTATCATTCATCACTATCATCATCGTCATTTTCATCATCTCAGAGAATGACCATAGATTATAAGGATTCAGCACTTTATTTGGCAAATAGTAAATCGTGGAAACACACTTATACTGTACAATTATTTTTAAGATGAAAATAATAATTACCCTTTCTTTGAGATGGAGTAGTCCAATGATGAACGCGACAAAGAGACACGTTCCAAGCAGAGCACCTGCAGTTAAATAAACGGACTGGCCTGGCGTTATTAGTAACTTCACGTCCCACCTAAAAAGAAATAATGGAATAATAAATCAACGTTATAAAGGAAGAATCGAATTGGCTCGTTTAATATATTACATAAATAATCTGGAATTAACTTCATCGCAAAAGCGGTTCACAATAAATGTCCACATTGGCCCGTCTATATAAACAGTAAGCGGGCCACAAAAATGAACACGTTGCTTCCTTTAATTTCAACATTATGCAAATAAGCCAGGTGTGAAAGCAAGCGCAGCTGAATTATAATAAACCAGGGACTATAAGTAACATCGCTGGGCGAGATTTTCACTCCTTAGCCATTAACGATTAATTAGTCACTTCAATAAATTACAGCACAAAGTATACGACGTAAGAGCTATGGCACGAACGAAACAGACCGCCCGTAAATCCACCGGAGGAAAAGCTCCTCGAAAGCAACTGGCAACGAAAGCTGCAAGAAAAAGTGCGCCGGCTACCGGAGGTGTTAAAAAACCCCACAGATACCGACCAGGTGAATGGAATGCTGGCAGTTTTTTAAACGGCGGCCCGTTGCGTTTTTTGCGAACAATTCTTCGTGAGTAGACTACAAATTTACGATTTTATTTTTCCTTTTAAAGGTACTGTTGCTCTACGTGAAATTAGACGTTACCAGAAGAGTACCGAATTGCTGATTCGTAAGCTACCATTCCAGCGTCTCATCCGAGAAATCGCTCAAGATTTCAAAACGGATCTTCGCTTCCAAAGTTCAGCGGTTTTGGCGCTTCAAGAAGCTGCGGAGGCGTACCTAGTCGGCTTGTTTGAGGACACAAACTTGTGTGCTATCCATGCTAAGCGAGTTACCATCATGCCAAAAGATATACAGCTAGCCAGAAGAATACGTGGCGAACGAGCATAAGCAATAACGTGATGAATATTGTGGGTCTCTCAACATTCTGTAGCATTTCTTTTCAACGTTATTTTTGCCACAAGACTTAAGAATTAATTTGTAAATAAATATTTTACTTTAAATCTAATTTGCAATTCTTTTTTGAAAATAAATTTTGATGTGAAATAAAAATGTTGATCCATGTTGTGTCTACTTACGCTGAAGGGTTCGTCGGCGGTTCTGGAATGACTATAAGAATAGAATTTGGTATAATTGAAGTCCACTCCTTTATCCTAGGTACAGTCTAAAAAACAAATCCAAACAAATCCTAACAGTTACTTTCAGACGGAAGTAAACGCATAGACTACATACATTTATCTCATTACATTATCGTTTTCAAAGTACAGGTTTACTATAACATGAAAATTAAAAATGGAACAAACGTACATCATTGGTTGGTATACCGACGGTCACCACGTCAACGAAATTAGGGTTCTGACCAAGTCCCATAAATACTGATGGAAGTTGTAGAGAGTAGTATGCAGACTGTGAAAGCTGAGCACCTGTCAAAAGAATTGGAGAATCTTTGAAGCCTTTTTCTGGTCTAAATCCAGGGAAATCTTTTCTAGTAACATGAATACAGTACAAATAAAAAAAAAATTGTGAAATCCGGTTACGAGCACTGAAGGGGAAACTTTTTAATTTTTATATTCTAGACAAAAGTCCAGTCGTACAATAAACCATTAACAGTTCAAACCAGGTTCCCGAGTGATGCCAAGACGGAGTAGGTTGACGCTAAACATACAGGTGGTCAATTATTGTACCACTTAACCAATCAATAAAACGCCTGCATATGACAGTTTAAATGCAAATAGTGTTAATGGCTAATATTTTAAAGATCTTGTTCCTGTCTTCCATAATTGCTGTCATTGTTATCACCTCTTCGAAGCCCAGATACTATTTTACAGTACTTAAAATACTTGCAAGAACAAATGTTAGCATATTGGTCAAAAAACTTTACAGTACCATGGTCAGATAGAATTTTGGCAGGCCTTCCCTGGGTTAACACCATGTGAAGACATCAAAACTGGGAATGTATGACTAAGGTCAAAATTTCATGTCTGTTCAGGTTATGCGTGTATAAATAATGAGAATATCCACTCAGTGTTAAGTTTACAATTGGGAATTCTTGTCTCATGTGCAGCCTAAACAATGAATAAGACGAATCTGTAAAATTATTTATTATTATTGTATACTTAAATTAGCGCATATCAAACTTCTCTATGCGCTGAAACATCAACTAAAAAATAACCAAAAACCAAAGAGGGCATTAAAGAGAAAGCAGAAGAAAAGAGGCGTGTCTTCAAACACACCTTACGGACAATTAGTGGTAATATTATAAAAATAAATCTTTATTTCAAATTATGAGCATATTAGTAACTATTTATAAAACACCTTTTCCAAGGAAACTAATAAGTTCAATCAAAAACTAAGATTATAAAAAAATGATGAAAGTATTAAAAGCAATATCAATCTGAGAACGTTTATTGTATCAAAATGGCATTTAAAGGCAATAAATATTTCCAAATATTGGAATAAATCTTCAGTCTTTTTAAGACAGACTTTGGTACATTCTTGGAGACTCCATCCGTCCTTCTTGATCTTGCATGATGAGTATTTGCATGGTTCTTCATCCACATGTAAACTGCTTGATATTTTCACATACATTTTAAATGACTATAACCAAATGTAGTCATACCAGTACTACACATTTTAATAAACAATTGGTACACTGTTCAGTAGATTAGAAGTTTATTACCAACATTATTACATACTGTTTTGTTACAACAAACCAACACAATTCAAATCTAGTAAAATTCAATCTATATAATGCCTAGACTGTGAATTCTGTCTATAAATATATATTCTTTTACAGTGATTATTATCCCTTTTCGCAGCTGGGGACCTCTCAGGGGCAGATTTAGGTAGGGCCAGGCCGGCCCTTCGCTCCCCCTCTTTTGGAAAGTTAAAAATAAGGAGAAAAAAAAAAGAGAGGCTATTTTAGGTCGTCTAGATAGCAAAAATTCAGCGGACCCCCCCCCCGTTTAGTGTTATCTCTGGATTCGCCCCTGCTTCTGATGGGGTATTCTTGCATATATTCTGCTTCAAAAGCAAATACTGGAATGAAAAGACGTACAGTATGTTATTTTCATTGCAATCTACTCTAAATACTTTGCACCACTGAACATAGACGAGAAATGCACTCAAGAGACCCTGAGAAGGTCCCGCGAAGAGGCAGTGCCAAAAGAGAGTGCCCTTTTCCAACTGGATTTATCTATATCTAAATACACTTTTTTTATTACAACTAAATAGACGGAATTTGAGACGAAGTTTTAACAAGCTGCATTACCTTTGCTGTATTCCTTTTTCCCCGATGTACCTGTTGTCTCGTAATGCACTGTTGGTCCAGGTTGATTTGCACCATACGGCTGCAATTATATGAAAATACGCAACTTGATTATTAATCATCATTTAATTTGCATTTTACCACAATTTCCAGCAGGACTTGCGCATTGCAGACCTACCAAGTCTCATGCATTTGGTGTGAGACTCGCACATAAATGTAATGCCTATACACCATTTTTGCTAAATTTGAAATGGAAATTTCCATGAACCTGAGAACTACCACTGGGGGACATCCAGAGATGTCTAGGCATTTCGCTTTACGTAGTCGTAGTAACAGTGTTCATCTGTGACTGGTGTATGAACTTGCTGTTGCAGAGGCCTTTGGCTAGTCTTTGAAAACAAAATGCCAAAACAAAAAAAAAAGTAGTGGTGCATAAAACATGCAGTGTTTTTGGTTGTTGAAGATGTGTGCGTGTGAGAAAACGAAATCAGGCTAGGCTACTGGATGTCCCCCCCAGTAAAAAGCTGCGAGACGATGGTGGCGCTGTTTCAAAATAGACCCGATAAAATGGTGTATATTATAAAATATATGTATACTAATTGCGACCTTTGTAGCCCTCTTCTTACTAAAAATTCTCCATCTACAGTACTTAATTTGAAAAGGTTTGTGTGAAGACGACCTGGAAAAAATGCAGATCCAGAATGCATTTTCAAGCATTTAGGAAACTTTAATTTGGAATCTCTGGCCTTTTCAACGTCTCGGGTCATATGCTTATGTGTAGCATGTAAAGAAGACTTCTAAACACGTGTTTATATGTAAAAACACACAATATACTTTGTCAGACATGTCTAAAGCCCTGTCAGATTATCAAATTTTGTTTGACAGACTGTTGTATGCCCATGTCATGGCATCATGACCATATTTAGGCATATCGCAAAAAGATAACACTATCAAGCATCATTGTATGATTAGATTGCTTGCTTCATAACACTTGATCAAACAAATTATGTGTCTTCTCATGTCTACCAGAAGTCTGAACAATTTTTAAGCCTGACAAACGAAAATATTAAAAACTAAAGTATTTTATACTGAATACTGGAGAACCTCTCCAGTGACCAACTTACATAAGTTCCTGAAGCAAATCCAGGACAGCTATAGAAGCAAAGGCCACTCAATACTATTAAAAAACAAAGAAAATAATTATTTATTATTATTTTTAATTATTTAATTTATTATTTATAATTATTAATTTGTATGAAGTTTGTTGACTTCAAGTGAGCACATTATAGAATTAAATTTCAATTTCAAGTGAGTACATTATAGAATTAAATTTCTTCATCAATATTTTTACACAATATTGAAGGTCCCACAAGATGACAATCTCAAATCATACGCGACATGTGCGTTTGTAGGACAGCATGTGTATTTGCGAGACGTGCGCGTTTTCCTAGCGCTGTTCTGATTGGTCAGTTAATAAGTTTGACTGAGAGTGTCAATCTATTACGTTGGCCGTAATTGACTGGTCGTTCGTCGTTAAACCACGCCCACCTGCGCAGTGGTAAAATCCTACTTAACGAAGACTAAAACTGGAATAGAAAACTGGTAAATACTCAAAACAAAATGGCTGCATAGTTACTGCGATACACGCTGCGTAGTCAAGGCTCCTTCAAATTGTGGCAGTATGGGTTTTTCGTAAAAAAAAGGTTTTCATCCAATTTTTGAATTCTGTTAGCATACAATTATTTTTTTACTTCAATGTGGGTAAATATTGTAATTTTTATTTTCGGAAATTTAATCTAAATTATATTAACGCAAATGTTGTTGCTAAACTGACCAATCGGCCATATTTTTTTGGTCACGTGCATAACTCAACGCTGATTAACGCATTCTGGTTACGTTAATTTTCGTTGTCAACGAAGTCGATTTTACGAACCAGTCAAATGAAAATACTCCTCAACGAAAATTCGTACTCAACGAAATGAACTAGTCGAATATGCCCATAGTTAAAATCTTACCTTGAACACGAATGAAGTATGCATCTACGATAAAGTTATTCTTCACAGCATGCATCATGGGAGGTGCAGTTGGGTTGTTTTGGCTCACAACAAACATATCTAACATAGTCTAGAATAAAGAAAGAATAAATACACTAGAATGAATTGGAAATAATAATTTTTTATCACAGTACACATGTAAAAGTAAAAAAAAAAAGGGGGGGGGGACAGCATTTTCAGAATAGATAACTGAGTAGCTTTATTTTATTGTCTAATAAACTAATAATATAAAACAATTTGACAACATAATAATCTTACACTTTGAGAAAGATCAACAAAGGTTGCAATGATGGGGTTGGTAATCGTCCAAAGCGCACCCATCCTAGCCACAGGTGAGAAGGATTCACCTTCATTGTTGTTGAGCAACACAACATGTCGTGAATTAGTTCTTCAAAAATAAAAATATGTAGTATATGAGAACAGTAGTGGTAGCCGTGTTAATCTTTAACATAAATTAAACAAGTAATGAAGAGGCAGCACTCTCAGACTAACTTTAAAGATGTAATTTTATTGGACACGAGGTTTCGCTGGCAGTCAATGCCAGCTTCATCAGGTGTAGTATATGAGTTGAGATGTAACTTGGTGTTTAAGATGGTTGCCGCCCTACAATCCCAGGGTCCTGGGTTCATATCTTGTGAAACACAACTTTTTTTTATCCTGATGAAAAACAATTACATATCCTAAACCTCCTCATAAAGGCTACACTCAGACAAGCTTACGTTAAGCCCTGCTCAAGGTCAAGTCATTCTCAAGATCAAATGAGATAAATATGAGCACTGTACAACAGGATACAACTGTTTACTAACTATAAACTAAAAGGTCAAAGTTCATAACAATTTAACAACAAATAACATATGTAATGATACCAATATTATATGTCTAACATTTATACTATTTTTTTTTGCATCGGGAAGATGGATTTTACTTGTATTGTATGTACCAGTGACAATAAAAGAATCTTGTATCTTGTAAATATATTTTATACTTACTGATTTCTCATGACAATCAATAAATCTGGATACCTATCCGTATTGTAGTCACCAATGCTTAATGTTATTGGTACATTGGCGTATGTGCTCACATCAGGCCCAGGTGGCACAAATCCCATCACCTCATCATTGATAGGCACATCTTTAAATTCAATTATTGTTTTCCACTAGAAAAAAAAAACATCATCAATGTAGGGACCTCTTCTTCTTTATGCCTTGCTCGCTTCGTTTATGTATCTGACGGGCACCTGTATTTCCCTACTCTCGCAACTGATTTGGGTATAGCATTTATGCACCTTAATATCATTCGTTTAAACAGCACAGTAGAATTAGACTCGACAACTCATTTAGTAACTACTTGTACCATTTTTTAGTTGTCGATAAGATGTAATATAACTTATCAAACTAGTTATGATGATGTGTAGTAAAATAACTGTGTTTTCCTCTAATCAAGCATGCCGTTTCAACATATTATGCCAGAGGGCGCTACCCATTATATCAGACAGTTTTCAAACTTAATTGACAGTTAATCAGACAGTTTTCAAATCCCACTTATTATCATTATCATTATTATTATTATATGGTAATAACAATCACTTTCTGTCATCTTACTTGTCATTAGCTATTAGAGTTTTCATGACTTCTACATGAAACCCTTAAATTTTTCATTGCATTTTATGTTTTTTAGTTACAACATAGATGCTGATTATGACAGATGCAAAGATTACTTATTACAGTCGGTTTTACACTAGGCAAATTTATTCACGCGAATCAAAAGCGTCAGTTTAATTCCTGAGCTCTAATTGGTTGCACATTTTTTTGCCTCGCAAAAAGTACTAAAGGTAGTAACTACTGACTTTCGCTGAAGTGAAAAAATCCTATAGAAATGTGAATGCGCTTGAAATAACGCTTTTGATTCATGCAATTAAATTTGCTTAGTGTAAAACCGGCCTAAGACTATTCATATTTGATGAGACACAGTCTATATTGAAGATTTTAGAAAAAAAACAATTATTCACTGCAGCAGACAGTGACTTAATAAAATAATTAACTGATTCCTAATACTGTACCTTTTTTTTTTGAAACATTTTATTAAAAAATATGAATGTCATGCTCTATCAAGCCCACATGTCAAACCAATGACAAACACTGCATTAAGCCAACATCTGTGCTAAGTTTCCAATACATGTAATATAATATATTTTATATTGCCAAAAAGAGTTTATCTAACTCTGAGCTGATATTGTTAGCCAAGGGCAGGTGAGGAGGTGATGCCTGGAGATGGATGCTGATGAGCCACTCTTGCAGTCTACACAACATGCATTAGGCAAATGAAAGCAGCCGTGATTGCTGCACCACAGGTTTTGAAAGGCCGTACCAAACCATCTGCCCATTGATGTCCTGACGGGTTACACTGGGAGTGGGGGGGAGGGAGTCAATACTGTCACAAATGAGTGATGAGAGGGGAATTGTTACAGATTTACGTAGCATTTCTCCAGCATTTATTCAACCCGACTAACGAAGAAGGTGTGAGTTAGAGCAAAAATAGTAGGCCTATCAGATAGGAGGTATGTGTTGTGCTACTTACAGATTACTACCTATTTTTCTGTTATAGTTTTCACACTGATTTACTGTCAGTCGATGCCTGATTATTTCATTACCTGCTACATACACAACTAAGAGATAAAAGACTTACGTTTTTACTTTTTCTCACAAATATTGCACTTTCATGGCACTGTTCATCATAACATACAGGTAGAAGTTGTTCTAAGACTCCATCTGCATCTGTGATAAATTGAAGAAATATGGGAATCAAGATAAAAGATGTCTTAATTATCATAAGCACAAGCAGATTTCACCTCTGGGTAGAGAGTCAAGAAAAGTGGTGGATTCAAATTGTGGGGGTGGGGGTGAAGGACCCAGCTGGAATTATTCAAGTTTAAGTCTAAGTGTGCCATTTCTGGCCATCTAGAGGTCCCATAAAAATTTTCTTACCTCTATATCAGGGGTGGGCATAGAAATCGGCATCACAAAAATATTTAGATTGGAGCCCCAGGATGTGCATTACATTTTGAAGAGACATAGCAAAATGAATATAGGCTTACATCAGGGGTGGGCATAATAATCAGTTGGAGGGCCAAAGTCAACTTTGTTGTTTCCAGTGTGCTTCCAAAAAAATTCAAGCGCTGCTTTTACACCACTTTACTCTCAGTTTAAATGTTACTTTTTACAGATGATCTACAAGTAGTGAAAACACATAAATATAACGAATTTGCAGAAAATGGGTTTGTTGCCAGAAGATTTTTGCTTTCTTGAGTGAGTGCAGGTAACTCACAGGAGATTTGGGACCTCCAGTGTTATATTATATTGAAAAATGCTTTAGTTAAATGCACAATGGCAGTACAGTAGTCATTTTTATCTAGGTAAATATATAAATATTAGACTACAGTCTTACCAACATCAGTGAAAGCAGACTGCCCCACGACAGAAATTGTTTTCCCTTCCGGGACCTTGGGAAGGGGATATGTGTGATCAAGTTGGTATTTAGATGATGCTGCGTTCTTCCAGACTTCAAACACGTCCTTTTTTTCGGTTGATGATGTTGTGAGGAAGATATCTGTGATGAAGTCCGAGTCTAAATCCAGGAAGGCATTAGAGTGCGGAATTATAATTTGGTTTTCATCGTTTTTAAGAACTTTCATTGCAGTAAAGTTGCGAGATCCTGATGAACTGTTGATAAGAAAAATCACTGTAATTTAATTTTTTAAACAAAAATTAAGAGAGCACCCTCCAGCATTAAAATATAATTCTAACTGATCATTTAATAAAATACCAACTTTCACTAAGTCATAGATTGAATAAAAATATTGAAAAAAAAAAATATTACCAAAAAAAGTTTTAAAAACAGAGAATATAGCATACCTTTGAATCCACAATGTACGTTCTCCTGCAGCGTTCGCTCCAAAAATATCGGCAATCATATCAGCATTATAACTGGAAAAGTTTAAATGTAATCAGAACACTCATTGGAGAAAAAATATGTGCGTATCCAACAAAAACATGTCGTCCCACAAACGCACATGTCTGCGTATGTTTTTGGCACTGGCGTTTTGTAGGGTCTTAGCAAAAATATCCCAGGGAAGGGGCTTAGTTGTAGAAGCGGTTGGTTGGCGCATCGGTTGTGGCTTGGACTCCCAACCTTGAGGTCAGAGGTCCAAAACTCTCGCTTGTGTCCTTGGGCATGGCACTTTATCTACGGTTGTCTCCACCCAGGAGTAAAAGTTGGTACCTGATAGGTTCAAACACAACTATGTGCTGATTACAGCTGCAACAGTTATTAGTCAAAAGGCCAATTGTTTCAGGTAAAAACAAACAGCAAAGATACTTACTCCATCACCAATGGTTGGTCAGCCATGGAATCTGATACAACTGTGGGACCATCTATTAACATTGACAAGAAAAAGAATCTTTTTTGATGACTTTCTTCATTATGCTTACACATAAAACCTACTATTATTATTATAAAAATCTATAAGCCTATTTTATATATATATATAATTGGCACTAAAGACTAGGAAGAAATCACCATAGACTACTAACAGACTTTATTAAAAATGACCAAGTTTTATTCATGCAGTTTTTCTGTACATTTATACCCTATTCAGACACTACCATCATATTGCTATTGGTTGTAGCAATTATGACACCCAATCGCACCCAAGTGCAATTCAGAATCTTGTGTAAAAGCTCATCAATAGTAATCGATATCGCAATTGTTACCAGTTACAATTGGGTGCTACAATCTTTTATTACTTTGAAAAATGGGGGAGGGGGAGGAACTTGGTCCCCTGTCATCCACTGATGGACACCCATGCATCCTGGACTCCATCCTGTCATTGGCTGTGATGCTTCCTAAACTACATCTACACTCTCTATCTGAAACTTGTTGAATGAATCTTTCGCTGACACTTTTAGTCAGGCTATGCAAACAACAGAGAAATCTGCAGCCGTTCCAAGGCAAAACAACATAACTTAAAAAATAAAATACAGCATTTTTATGTTGATTTGCCATGGGAGGCCATCCAGGTAAGATTACCTAGACATAATAATAGGCACATGTCCTACCAATTTTTTAGTTGCTCTGTCAATTTTAATTTTGTTAAAAATAAGTGTTAATATTACAGCAGATTTAACAAATACATTACCTGGACAAAAAGAGTTTAAATTTCCCCAGTAGATAAGGGCTGCTGTTGAAGCGTTTTTGTCATACATGCTGTTTGAATTTTTCAGTGTTAAGAGTACGTCCATTTTGGAATCGCCATCATAATCACCAGGGACGACACTTGTGATAACTTCCCCAGTTCTCCTTAAAATACATAATAAATTATATAAAAAAAAAAAAGGTTAATTCTTCTGAGATTGAGGGTTATTTGATATGAAATTAAATGTTTTTTTTTTTTCAAGTCATAAAATTATGAGAAATATTTTTCCTGTTCATACTCCCAGATGGAAAGAAGCAATGCAGATAAAGTGTCTTGCTCAAGGATACAAGCGAAATGCACAGCGAGGGATTGAAACCCCGACCTCGAGTTTGGGAAACCAAACTGTTCCCACTGCGCCAAACCGCTTCTACTGTGCTGTTGATAGTCTTGTCACAGGGGCTGGAGGATCCAGAATTTTTCAAACGGCGGAGAAGGGGCACAACAGTTTTAGAATAGATAAGTGAGTAGCACATAACATTAATATGCATTGACATTTTAAAAATTTAGTGGCAAGACGAGGGGGGGGGATGTGCCTCCCTGTGTCCCCTACACACTGGATCCGCCCCTGTGTCACACTACACAGTTGACGTCTTATAGGAACATTATTTTATTTGGCACGAATATTTCGTCCTGTCCTCAGGACTTTCTCAAGGTGAATGAGACAACATTAAAAAATAATGACTGGGTGAAACAATAGGTAAATAGTTTATGTTACATAATAGGAGACCGCTAGGGTGATTAAGAGATTAATTCTTAGTGAATGTGTAGCCACTAGCAAAGCCTAGATCTTTGTTGAGTCCATTGATATGTGATTCGATACGCATGATCCAACGTAATTCGGGGCAACGTCTATCTCTTGTAGATTTGTAATTACAACCTAATATGATAAAACGTAAATTGTCTATGGAGTGCCCCTGTGAGTTAAAATGGTTGCTTACAGGAAACCCTTTACTCTTATCTGACAGATTTCTTGTGATTATTTAACCTTAATCTAAGTTTAGTACTGGTCTCACCAATACTCACCTATATTACATTTGTCACAATATATGTACACAGCATTCGAGATATTACAATCAAGGTTCGGGGAGCGGATTTTTAAATTCGTCCCAGGTATATGAATTGTCCACCCAACAGAGGGCATCCTTTGGCCCTCGTCTGATTACATGCTCATAGAGCAGAATGTTTATGTGAAACAATAACTCAGTAATTTGACTGATATGCTTGAGGAATTAATAAAGACCTGTAAATTGTGAGATTCCAAGGTGGCAAAACAATTTCAATTGCTGACGAAAATGTCAATTTGTTTATCATTGGTAGGTACGCTAATGTGGCAGGCTCACAAAACAAGGAATATAAAATTAAAAATAAAGTCTCACTAAGGCCACTAAATTATTTAAGTGGCACTGAGGCCAGGCCTATTAAAATAAAATATAATAATTATAATACATACCTGGTGAGATTCAAAACAAGATTTGTTTGAGGTTTTAGATATGGTTCTACATTATGCCAAATTAGGATAGACATCTTTGGAATATCATCTGCAAATATAGATATATTATTAATAATTATATAAAAGAATGGATCTTTTTGAAAAATAGCAAAACTTCCCAGAAAAATGTCAATAAAATTTCTTAAAATTATATATTATATTAAAATATTATAAATAATGGCGGTTCCATATTTGAAGCTAATATCACGACAGTAAAATATACAATATAGTGAATGAACAATTATTTAATGTAAATTTTGAGGCCTAGGCCTTAGCCCAGGCATACCTTCTGTCAGGGCGTAGGCAAAACTACTACAGGAAAAAACGCTATGTCGCCGGGTGCTATACTCACCTGGAGAGACCGCAGGGTGAATAACAAACGCGTCTGTGTTTTGATCAGCGTTGAAGTCGCCAAAAGCAGCAATTATTCCATTTTTATTTTTAAATACACTATTGGTGAAATCCTCTAAATCTCCATTTTTCACTTCTCCAGTAACACCTCTAAAAATTAGTAGAACATTGACAAAAACGCATAAATATAATTTTCTAACCCTCATCTTCACACCGACGATCACGTAGTTATTGATCATTGACTACCCGGAAGTAATAGTGCCTATCGTAGGTTTTGAATATTCATAGTAAGTTATGAATAAACATAAGATATGTAGAGCGTAATTTTCTTTTTTTCTTTTTAAACTAAGCCAAAACAACGTAAATTACGTACGTAGATAGTTTCGGATATATGCAAGAGAGGCCCCAGTTTCGAGTGCTCACTTTTTTAGGCTAAGCCTGGACCCTGGTGGTTAGGGGCTTACTCCCTATGCTTTCTTAACTCGTAACGATGAGTAAGGTGGCTAAGGATGCGTATTCAGAGCTGGTGAAGCGACTTGATGATTATTATCACATTGGTAGGAATAAAACAATCGATCTCTCTAGCTAGCTAGCCTAGGCTAAGTACATAAACAGTCATCACAGCGAGAGTCAGACTCAGCTCAGACAGAGAGGAAGAGAGGCGCCTGCCTAGAAGGCTAGACCTAGCCTAGGCCTAAGCTAGGCTATTATTAATATAGGGGCGGAGATAGGATAGGCTTGTCCAACAAGGATGGCTGTATGGCCTAGTGTAGGCTGTTGTTTAATATAATCTTAAACGTTGGGTATTACTATTATTGTTTGTATGCAGTGGTAGCCGTAGTAGGACGGTGTGGGACGGAGCCTTGAAATGAAGGGCTGGGCCGGGGGATAATTGGGTAGGGGAGGTTTCAGGGGTCGATTATTATAATAAGGGAGGAGGTGCTAGGTTGTAAAAATAAGGTGATTATGAGTGATTATTTTTTATACTTCGGATATTTTTCCTCACTGCACAACCCCTAGATAGCTACTGATTGCATGGATTGGATTAGGTGAGACTTTTTTAATACCTTCAAGTGTTTATAATTAATATAAATAAATAATATAATTATTTTTGCTCTATGCAAATGTTGTGATTGCTCAAGGCCTATGTGCTGTTTTACAGTGGTGGTATCAGCAATACCTGAAGAGTGGTCCATCGTTTCCTAGCAGATCAGACACATCAGCTTCAACATGGTCTGGTCTATAAGGTGAACAGTAGCCCAAACAACAACCCTCTAGTTAATTTTTCCCAACAGATCTTACTATAAAACCCCGACAACTCGGCCAGGTTTCCTGATGGCAAGGCCTTGCCATATTATTTGAAAATCATCAAATTCATAATCTAATCACAATGGATAATGATCAATTTACGACAATATATTAGCATGATTACTTTTTTGCAGTTAAAAACCAGATACTACATCACCAATGTCCCACCATTGGAATGTTTCCGTCTGACACTGGTGGAAATGAGATAAAAGTGCGAGACAGTGTGTATTGTGCAGCTGCTATCTGGTCTTTAGCGCTTGCTTACAGGTAAGTAAATACAAACAAGGGTTCTTGTTGTAGTTTTAACTGCACATGTATATGTCATACTGTAGGTCAAGGCTGAAATATAATATGAAATCTTCATTTTATCCCCACATTAAAATATATTTTAAAACATTTATCAATCTGCAAACTTTTTACATCCTAATATCGCATTCTTTATGAACATGCAATAGAATCTCATAGGAGGGTGCTCTTTTACTTTTTTCAAACACAGCCTTTGCTTTTTTATCTCTCAATAATATTTTATTTCTTCATCTGCAAACTTATGGCAGAAACCAATTAGTAATAACAGAATCTTATTTTGGTTTTCCAATACTCTAACAATTTTTCAAAAGTAGACTTGCCTTATTAAGATTTGGTATGGATGAGGTTTGTTTGGTGTTTTGTGATTGCAGAAAAATTGACAACGATCAAGGGCGAACTTATGAACTTGAACAAAGTGCTGTGAAGTGTATGCGTGGTATTCTCTATTGTTACCTCAGACAAGCTGATAAGGTAGATCACAGTATTTCATACAGTGCAGTACTTCATTGCAATTATCAATTTTCTTGCCTTGAAAAAAAGAAATTATGTGAGGTAAACATCAGTTCAGTCTAGCATGCATCAGTTGTTATGTTTTTCATGGTAAGTTAATTAAGAAAAACTTAGCAGACGAAGGGCTGGCTCATCCTGGGGGTGCCTAAATTTAGAATGCAGAACCGGGTGTTAAGAAAATTGAAAAAGCGGAACTAAATTTCTATTCCAATGAAAACGTAACGGTCATATTTAGTATTTTCACTCTGGTGGAACTAATTCGCTGCCATTGGGAAGAGGGTTGTTGATGCACATCCCCACCCTATGCCCATGTGTGCTGTAACCACATCTATTTTATTTTTAACATGTAGGTTGAGAAGTTCAAGAAAGATCAAAATGAGAACCATGCCCTCCATTCCAAGTTTGTTCCTGGAACCGGCGACGCTCTTAGTGGAAGGCACCGACATCTGCAAATTGATGCTGTGTCATTGTTCTTGTTGTATATTGTCCAAATGATCTCATCAGGCCTACATGTAAGTTATTGTTCTTTATTTCATCAAATTTTATAACCATTAAACAGGATTTTAGTAACATTATCTTGAATTTATGCAGATAGAATACCTGATTCTATCAGTGATTTTAAAAAAACTTTGAACAGAATATTACTCTTGTTTTCCTTCTAGATCATTTATAGCATGGAAGAAGTAGTATTTATACAGAACATTGTGTACTATGTGGAGAGGGCATACAGAACCCCAGACTATGGCATGTGGGAGAGAGGAAGTAAATACAATACTGGAAAATGTGAACTTCATGCAAGGTGAGGAAACAATAATTATACTCTTTAGTTTAATTGTACATATTTTGTACCATCATCATTTTACTTTCTATTGGAGGTTTAAGAAATGAAATAAGATGAGTGCTTGTGTGTTCTTCCAGATTTTAACACAGATATAGTATTACATCTTTATTATAGTTACAGTATTGTGTTTATTATTATTTTTATAGTTACAGTATTGTGTTTATTATTATTTTTATAGTTACAGTATTGTGTTTATTATTATTTTTATAGTTACAGTATTGTGTTTATTATTATTTTTATTAACTTGCAGTTCAGTCGGGATGGCAAAAGCTGCCTTAGAAGCTATCAATGGTTTCAATCTATTTGGCAAGGAGGGTACAACATGGTCAGTAGTTTATGTTGATGTGGATGCGCACTTTCGCAATCAAACCATCATGGAGAGTCTCCTTCCTAGAGAAAGCAGTTCAAAGGTAATTTAGTTTCATTTATTTGTTTCATTGTTTTGTTTAAGTTGGTTGGATTGGATTGGATTGGATATATTCTGTGTAAACACCAAGGATTTCATTTATTTGTTTCATTTTTTCGCTTAAGTTTTCTTTAAAAAATATGCGAAGTGGTTTAAATTTTAATCAGATGGTGTTTGCATTTTAATACAAACACCAGGATTGCCACCACCACCAAGGAGGTTATGCACTGCTGTCTGTCTTTTTTTCTGTTTGTTTGCAAGATTTCGCAAAAGTAAGGAATGGATCATCATAAAATTTAGTGGAATAGTATTAGTAATCTAAAGAAGAGGTGATTTAATTTTGGGAAGAAAAGGTCAAGGTCATGGAACTTACAGTGATTTTTTTCCCTTGAACTTACCTTCGAGCATAAAAGAAAAAATGGAATCTCCCATAACTGGCCTGTGTATTGCCCAATATTCAGACACAGGGCGGAGGTATGCACTCTATCCAGTGACTGCTCTAGTGTTAGTGATGATTAAATTTCTTCCAAGATATTAACATTCTTAGTGCTTTTTCATATTTGCAGAATACAGATGCATCTTTGTTACCCATGTTAAGTTTCCCGTCATTTGCAATTGATAATCAACAGCTGTGCAAAAGAACAAAAGAGAAAGTGCTTCGTAAGTTAGAAGGAAAATATGGCATGAAACGGTTCCTACGGGATGGGTTTAGCTGTGTTCTTGAGGACAAGAATCGGCGGTACTATAGACAAGCTGAGATTAAGGTAATTTATTGATTATTTTATAGCTTATATACAATTTTCTTTTATTACTTTTTGTCATACAGTATATTTTAAACTTTTTTTTACATGTTTTACTTTCTGTTTGTCAGCTATTTGATGGAATTGAAAGTGAATGGCCAATGTTTTATGCTTACATGGTGATTGATGGTGTTGCTAAGGGAGACGAAGACCAAGTTGAAGAATATTACGAGAAGATGATGTCGAGTTGCATAGAAACTAAAGATGGAGGTAAACAAGCAATTTTGTTTTTTTTGTGAGGTGTTGTCAGAAAATCAAACTCTTGGTAACAAACATGAAAAATGAATTACTCTATTTATTCAAATAAACACCCCGCTTTGAATAAATACCCCCTCTAGAGCCTCATTTGGAATAATCGCCTCCCTCGAATAAACGCCTCCCTTTAATAAAAGCGTTTTTTTTTTCCTCGATTAAATGCTCCCCCCCCCCCCAAATGGCTAAACAAAACTAACGGAAGCAAAGTCATTCTCATTACATTCTATTAATGTTCTACTTCAGTAGAATTACACTTTTCCTAACCTGGTTTGTCTTTATGATCTCATAAATAGTAGCACAATAGTAATTATGGTTTGTAGTTCCACATTTACAGTCAAATTAAGGGGCGTGTATTTAAGTATATACGTATCAATTTTACACCAAATAAAAAAAATGCCTCCCTCAAATAAATTCCCCCTCAATAACCCTTCTCAACAATAAAGGCCCCAGGGCGTTCATTTGAATAAATACGTTATTGACATATTCAGATACAGAAGATTATATCATAAGTTATATTTAGACCTTTAATAATAATAATAATAATATGATAATTATGAAATTCACAGAAATTGGCTCTAAAGCTCTGTCAGATTATCGATGTTTCTTTCACAAAAAAAATAATGCATGCCAATATATAGTCATGATGTGCCTATATATAAGGTTTGTACAACAACCTAAAGCGTTTAATATTAGCATGTGCTGTTAAGGAGATGAAGATCAAATGTGGCACCCTCAAGCTAAAACCCATCCATTTAAAAATCCCACCATGTTTCATTTTTCTCAGGACTTATTATGCCAAAGTGCTTCATCGTACCAGGACATTGCGTAGATGAGGAAAAAGCAGAACCAGGGAGTCAGAGACGCTATCCTAGCAACAATGACAAAATCTTCCTTTGGGGTCAGTCAATTCTAATCATCGCCCAACTTCTAAGTGAGTTGATAATATTTTTTTCCCATTTTTACAGTTTATTATATTTTTATATTTTTTTCCTATTTACTTCACATAAAAAAAACCAGTTTGTGGTATTATATAAAAGTAAATAACAATCTTTAATATGAAGTGCTAATAGATGCTGCACCCGCGCATGTGTACACCAGAGGTCATGGCATATTAACAAATTTTCTTTGAACTTATATTACACGTATTTATTTTTTACATGCTCGGTGATAGACTAGATTATTTTTTATTGTATTATGTGACTGATTCTGCGAAACCCTCCGTTTGTCGCAATTGATAATTTCCCACAAGCACCAAAAACATTTGAGAATTCAGGTTTCAGGTATTTTTGCATTTTTATAAATGAAGACATATTGAAGAATTTTAGAATCTTTGGGAGCTGTTTTCTCAAAACCTACAGTACATGACTGATATGATAACTTCGCTAATACTCAACCAATTACTATTAAATAGACACGGTATTAAAGAAGAATTCATGCAGAATCTAAAAACTCAATTTTGAATTTTTTCTTACAAACTGCTGGTTTTCCCAGTGCTGGTTACATATATCTTGACATTTGACATGCATGTGAAATACTTTATTTACTCTTTCTAGAAGAAAAACTTGTAGATATGGGAGATGTAGATCCAATTGGTCGTTACCTTGGCAACTCAGCTGGACGTAAACACAAGCACAACACCAGATACTCTGCTTTTGAGGTACACTTTCTTGTAATGCTTGGTTGTCTTTAACAAAGTTTACTCCAATTGCATTTCATTACATTATTATTTCAAGACAACATACAAAAATAACGAATACAAAACAACTAAGGATAATCTAAAAGTAAACGTAATTATTATTGAGAGGCTATCCATACAAATAGACAGGTCAAAACTCCCATTGAAAAACTACAATCAAATTTTTAAATTTCAGTGAATATCAATGTATTGTATTGAAATAAGAAATAAAAAAAAATACAAACCCCCCTCCCCACTTTGAAAAATTCTGGATCTGCCCCTGACAAAAACAGTTTAAAATTGTATAATAATTAAGAAAACATGACGTGTTAGGAAAGCTCACTCCATTCTGTGTTTTAAATTGTGTTTAAACTCACCTCCATTCAGGGTACACCACCAGACTTGACCGTTCAGATGGTACTCATTGCAGAGAGTGCGCGGCTTCAGGCCACCCTAGCCACCTACGGCATTGTTACGCAGACACCTACCCAGGTTGAACCAATAGAGATTTGGCCTCCAAGTGAACTTGTTAAGGTAAACCAATCTAGTTCAGATATCTTGAAATTACTATGCAGCTATTACACACCTAATCACTATACCAACCAATAACCACTACAATAGCAGTTTGATTTACATATGTTGCAGCACTATGAATGTGGGTGGAAGCATTTAGAATAGCAGTTAAGGCTTGGACTGTCAACCTCGTGGTCAGGGGTTTAGAGCACTCACTGTGCAGGTCGCTTGTGTCCTTGAACAAGAAGCTTTGTCTCTATCTACCCAGGAGTATAAATGGGTACTGGCAGAGGCTGGGAAGGTAACCATAATTGATGTGAAGAAAAGCGGCAATCCCCTCAAAGCCCTGCACAGTCTGGCCCCAATGCTTAAGAAAGAGGGACGGGCATTTCGCACCTGAACATGTTTGGCTACCTTTACTTTTACCTTTACTGTGAATGGATGGTGATTGACATATAAAGCAATTAGTATAGTCTTATTTCCATACAAATTTCATATATACATCTGCACTATACCAGATAACTAAAAACATGCTTTAAATGGCTTAGTATTTTCCTCCATAGGCTTACAGCTTACTTGGTTTCAATGAGAAGCTGGGCCTGACTGGAAGACCACCCCGTCCTGTAGGCAGCCTGGGAACATCCAAAATATATCGTGTCCTAGGTCGCACTGTGTTGTGCTACCCCTTGACGTTCGATCGCACAGACTTCTACATGTCGGAGGATATCTCACTACTTGTGGATGACATAAAGGTAGGATTATAATTGCATTATAATTGCATCAGACCCAGACTGTAAAATAAGGCTCGCATTGGGAATAGAATTCCATCTGCTCTTGGCCTCTCTGTCAATATACAACCAATGTATTAAGCAGCTGTAGTTATGGTTCTACGCATCTATTTTCCTAGTGATTTTCAGCGCAAATTTGCATTGGTTATACTTTACAATGTAAATTTAAAATTTTTAATAACTCAGTTCAGAAATAAATTTTAAAACAATTATTGTTTTCAAATATTTTAAAATCATTATGTTATATATTATTAATTTTTAGAGCCAAGTTGCATTTGTACGTAACAGTTGGAAGATGTCCGGTCGCCCAACCTTTTGTATTCTAATTCGTGAAGATCATTTTAGGTGGAGTAGATTTTACTGCAGTTTTACTATAATTGGTCAGAAGTATACTTTTTGTTGTTATCGTAAAATAAGTATAGAAAATAACATAAACATTTAATATTTACCTACAATTTATAATATTATATATTTAATTTTTTTTTCTGCAACTTCAGAGGATCCCAGAAACCAGAGATGCTGGACATGTTGGTGATGTTCAAACGTGGTGGGTATGATGGCGTACACGTCCGTGTTGATCGTCTGCAGACTTTGCTTGCATCCTCATTTATTGAACATCTCGACTTTCAAATTCCTTTAAGTATTGAGTGAGTATGTGTCCAGTAGATAACATTTTAAAATCTCTCGCTCAAAGTTAATGATATGTTTTGATTATCTGTTTTCTAAGTTTAAGTCTAACATTAGCTTTTCTTGATACATAATTATTGTTAAATGATAGTCCCTTGTTAGTTAATTTTTTTCTTTTTTTTTCATATTTAGGAGTAGCCTTGATTTCAGGCCACTTGAAGAGTTGAATGTTAGTCATTTCCCATTGAAGGCTCTGGAAAAAAGAGTGGAAAAACCACAAGAACAAGATTCGGAGCAAGAAGATCAGGATTATGATTTTCATGTAAGTTCTTAAATTTTGAACAAGGCAAAGGGGTAACTTTTCCTTGGCTAAATTGTACTGCTGTTTGCGCTTGAATTTACGAAAAAAATTGCTCCAAGCCTTTGTTTTCAATTGTACAGTGAACATAGCAATGGTGTTTGGACTGAAAATAGAGACTTGTATAATAGGAAGTCAAATTGATTTGTGGATAACGTACCAGACGACATATTTGTCTATCGCAGTGGGCTCAACACCCAATTGAAATGTTCTAATTCTGGACAACTTTGTGAGGGAGCTTTAGCCACTGTCTAGACCCTAGGCCGTACCTCTGGGCAATGAGGTGCTATGTTCAGACCAAGATAGTCTAGTAGAAGCCTAGGTACTTACAGTAGTATGGTTCCTTGGTCAAATACTGTTGACTCGTATAGGCCTACAGACAGATAATGGTAGGTGCAGGAGACAAACATTACAAAGTATTTCTGTTATGTTGCTCTCTGCTTAATAGGCAGTCTCATATTTTTTAGCTTCTTGATCATAAATCAACGTGGGAAATCACAGAAGAGCTTCAGAAAAAGAAGAGTATCCGTTGGGAGAGCACTTATCTTGCGCTGTTGATGAAAAGAGAAGGTCCGAACCACATGACTCAGTCTGGAACAGTAGGCAGCCGACTGGATAGTATTTATCGGAAAGCGGGGATGCAGAAAGACTGGTTCATAGTGCGGTTCTGCGCCAGTCATTTGCGCAAAGTACGGGACTCCTTGGCTCCAGCTATTACCTCTATGTTGGTCAGAGGAAAGCAGGTAAAATAAATTTCTCAGTTTTCTTTGTAATGTTAGTCAGTCAGTGTACATCTGGCTGGCTCCTGCACTGTGTGTTAATTCATCTCCTAGTAATGTCATTGTGACTGTTCTTAGGTACTTTCATCCAAGGTGTTTGTTGTGTGCATCATATGCTATGATAGAAATAACAGTTTGTGTTCTACATTAAACTAAAATAAATGGTGCTAATGCACTTTAGTACTCTACCCTAACCTTAACCTTCAGTCTGTCTTTATTATTATTATTATTATTATTATTGTTATTATTATTATTAATATTATTATTATTATTACTATTACTATTAACAATTGCCGTCCTGAAACAGAACATTCAGCGGCCAATGATTAGTGGCAAATAAATCAGTCATAAATTTTTTCAAATAATAAATATTACACTTTTTAAAAGTTTTATAATAGTGTATTATCCAATTAAAACAACATTGAATTGATTTTTTTCATTGTAGGTAACAATAGGTGTGTTTGGCCATGAAGAGGCCATTATCACTAAACCACTTCCGCCTGCAGAAATCGCATCGATCCTGTACAATAAATGTCAGATGTACGACATCCGTGAACCGGTGCTTCAGCAAGAAGTCATCTACCTACTCGGCAAGTTCATTTCCAATGAGCCGCACCTATTTGACGGAATGTTGAAGGTTCGTGTTGGGTAGGTTTTTACGTTTATCTTAGTTCTTCCTATGACCATAAGAAACCACAACTGTTCAGTTGGACTTTGTTGTTTTTAATGATGTAAATATATGTAATTTCTGTTATATTATTATGTGTTTGGAATGCTAATGATATACTGATTTTAAGCAAAATATGATCTATTTTTTTTCAGCTGGATTGTCCATGCTATGAGGACAGAGTATGCCTTTGAGAATGGAACAGCAAAGGTAAGTTGAGGCTTTCATCATTTACAACACCTTCTTTTGTCATTGTTTCATGCTTTCGTTCATTCATTTGTTTATAATTTTTATCTATCTACCCATCCATCCTTTAAGCATTCATCATTCATTTATTCATCCATCATGGACTCACAGAGAAAGTATTTTATTGTTTTCTGAAGACGATAAAGCTCTGTCTACACTGTCAAATTTTATGGGACAAATTTGTGCTGTCTCTTATACACATCTAGATGTGTATAAGAGACAGAGCGCGGCTTCAGGCCACCCTAGCCACCTACGGCATTGTTACGCAGACACCTACCCAGGTTGAACCAATAGAGATTTGGCCTCCAAGTGAACTTGTTAAGGTAAACCAATCTAGTTCAGATATCTTGAAATTACTATGCAGCTATTACACACCTAATCACTATACCAACCAATAACCACTACAATAGCAGTTTGATTTACATATGTTGCAGCACTATGAATGTGGGTGGAAGCATTTAGAATAGCAGTTAAGGCTTGGACTGTCAACCTCGTGGTCAGGGGTTAAAAAGTTTTAAAATAGTGTATTATCCAATTAAAACTTTTTTCATTGTAGGTAACAATAGGTGTGTTTGGCCATGAAGAGGCCATTATCACTAAACCACTTCCGCCTGCAGAAATCGCATCGATCCTGTACAATAAATGTCAGATGTACGACATTCGTGAACCGGTGTTTCAGCAAGAAGTCATCTACCTACTCGGCAAGTTCATTTCCAATGAGCCGCACCTATTTGACGGAATGTTGAAGGTTCGTGTTGGGTAGGTTTTTACGTTTATCTTAGTTTTTCCTATGACCATAAGAAACCACAACTGTTCAGTTGGATTTTGTTGTTTTGAATGATGTAAATATATGTAGTTTTTGTTACATTATTATGTGTTTGGAATGCTAATGATATACTGATTTTAAGCAAAAAATGATCTATTTTTTTTTCAGCTGGATTGTCCATGCTATGAGGACAGAGTATGCCTTTGAGAATGGAACAGCAAAGGTAAGTTGAGGCTTTCATCATTTACAACACCTTCTTTTGTCATTGTTTCATGCTTTCGTTCATTCATTTGTTTATAATTTTTATCTATCTACCCATCCATCCTTTAAGCATTCATCATTCATTTATTCATCCATCATGGACTCACAGAGAAAGTATTTTATTGTTTTCTGAAGACGATAAAGCTCTGTCCACACTGTCAAATTTTATGGGACAAATTTGTGTGATCACATTTATTTGTCACATAAATTTTGATAGTGTAAACACAGCTTAATACTCAAATTGTGGCTACTTCTTTCAGAGTTTTTACACGCTATCTCCAAGTCAAATCAAGGATGAGCTATACCGTGTCCTCAGTACAAACATGATGAATCTTGGTGATCGTAATTGGATGGAACGACGAAAGTTGAATGGTGCCCTCAATCGCACACCACCAAACTTCTACGATAAAGGTAATGAAGTGTATGAAGACTGTCCAGATTATCAAATATTCTTTGACAAGAAACAGTTGTATGCCCATATATAGTCATGATGTGCCTATATATGGTCATGATGTGATGTCATCATGACCATATTTAAGCGTGTCACGTTTTTGTCAAATAAAATTTTATAGTCTGCACATGCCTTATTTGGTATATTAGTGCATTTTCTGGGCAAGAATATTTTTTATTGGTAATATTTTCATTGTGACTGTGCATTGTGCCATTTTATTTTTTCCCCCTAGTATAGATCTGTTTTATAAACATATTCCAACTATATTGATTTTTTTTTATAAGATAGTTACTTATAATTCATTATGCAATATTATTTATCTTCAGTTCTTGACATTTTGGCACGCACCCCAGCTGGCATAACCATAGCTGGAAGCCACCTTCCTCAGCAACCGACCTTATCGGAAATGACACGAACAGATCTGGACTTTGCCCTCCGCATTGAGGAGATGCTCTGCAGAATCAGGCAACCAGAGTACAGACAGATTATGGTTGAGGTATTGCCCGCTCAGATACTTAAACAAATAGTTAAATAATATGGAGGATGCATCTGACACCACAATAAACATTATAGATCTAGCAAATGGTTCTGAGGATGAGAGCGACACTAGTAACATTAACTTTCCTTGGGAAGGGTACTTATATTTATGTATTTATTTAGGTGCACACACATGCACCAAGGCTTGCCAAATAGTGAATGTATCACTGTCCTGTGTGAGTGGGTGGTAAACACAGGACAAACATAACAGACAAGATGCTTTACACAAACTAAATCTCAGTGTGAGGTTTAGGGAGTGCAATTGTTTTGGTTATGAGAAAAATACTTCATCACTAACAGAAATTGAACCAGGTCCCTGGCATTGGAAAGCAAGCATCTTTTCTACCAAGCTATTCGCCTCCACTACCCAGGAATATAAATGAGTACCTGATTGGACGTGAATGATTTGGAATGGAATTTGGTAGTGCTGGGGTAGGTGCACAACTAGAAATTTTCCCCTGGCAGTGGAGGGAGTTGCACATTATGTACGATTCACTCTGTTTCCAATGACTCAAGAAAAACACATTGCTTCATCCTCATCATTAGTATGTGATGAAAAGTCTTTAAAGAATCTTCACTGCCACAGGATTGCATGGATACTACAGTATCATGCACTATACAGATATAACAAATAATAACAGTATATTTCTTGTTTTAGCTTCTAACTGTGATTGCAACCATTTTAAAGAGAAATCCAGAGGTAGAATTCAGCGAGAAGGTTGACATGGATGGTGTAAGTAATGACAGTTCTGATGCATAAGAAATAATTACATAGCTTTTTTATACCTCTGTTAATATATACAGTATTTATAATACCTCCATTAATGATATACTGTATGTAGTCAAATTCCTACATGTATGAGATGCGATACTGGTTTCAAATTGCTCTATTATTGATACCTTTTCACTCATTACAACTGTTTCTATTCTGTATTCTATTCTCGTTTGCATCATTTTATGGTAAATTCTGAGCCATTCTTATGAGACTTATAGTTTTATTATGAATATTTGAAAGATAATCATATAAATTTATTCCTCAGATTATCAATGATGCTCTATGCGAGTTCCAGAAAGACCGACAAGTATCTGAAAGCGAGGGATGTGAGCGGATGGCATTCTACAACACTCCATCTCTTGCAGTCCAAGGCACAACCAGCTACCTAGCAAAAGTGGTGGTGAAGATGCTGCTTAACAGCAGTATGGATAGCAAACAGGCTGACCCCTGTACTGTGAGCTGAGGGACAGTGACTTGTATCTTGTGGTTTGGGCCTAGGGTCTTCAGAAAACAGCAGAGCTTGTTGTGGTAATTCCTGTGGATGCAGCTGAGATTCATATTTGCAGCTAATTGCATGTTATGGCAGCCTAGGCTTAGGTCCAGCTCGTTGGGGTCATGATTGCCGCCTAAGTTCTTGTAGTTCATTCACTAATTATGCAGCATTCCAAGCTTCAGTATTAACAAAATATGACTAATTGATATGCGAGACTAATTCTATATTATATTGATATTTACTTGCAGTGCTTCCAGTAGAATTTAGGTCATAGTATCAAAGTTACATGACAATCAGCTCTCAGTTTCATATCAGTGAAGCTTTAAGCCTAATGGGATATGGACATTATAACTGCTGATGTTATGAACAACAGTCTATTGGCAGTGTATACTGCCAATATTGATTGATTGAAGATTGGCAGGATCACTTTTTCAAAGTGCTGTACCAACTAACAACCTTCAAATTTTCTCTCTGATAAGAGACCAAATCCCAAGACCACCACACATTTTCAGGTCCCATAAAGGTGTTTTTGAATTGGAGGCGATCTGTAATTTATTGGATGATGTTATCCAGATGTGGTATGACCTTTTGATTGAGCTACGTTTAGTCAGAGCCTTGGTTGTAAACGTCATGATAATGACAGCAGCGACATTGGAATTGGTGACAACTATGATTATTTTAGTGCAATAAGATTCTTGAATCATTTACCATTCTGACAAATTGTATCTAATACTTTGATATAGTAGAATATTATTTTACTTTTATTTCAATGAAGAACAAATTAATATACCGAAAGGTCCACTGATTAATCTCAGATAAGAAATATAATGCATACTCCAAGTATTGAAATACATGCCATCGTGTTGGGATTCAATATTTCGACATGAATTATGTCATCATCATGAATGATTCCTGATAATGACATAATTCATGTCGAAATATTTAATCCCAACACGATGGCGTGTATTTCAATACAAATTAATATGGTGTTCAGAAACACAAAATAAAAATAAGAAAAGCAAATATTTGTTTTTATGTACAGTATGAGGTCTTTATTTCTTAGGAAATGTAAATAAGAACACAATAAAAGCAGTTGGAAACTTTCTCATTGCAAAATACCATTGTTTTTCAAAAGAAAATATGACACTACATTCTTGATCGACTCGCTGGTTAAATCTGTTTTCCATTAGGCGAATCTATTCACGTGAACTAAAAGCATCCGTTCACTTCCTGAGCTGTAATTGGTTTCTTCGCAAAAAGTAGAAACAGTTCAAACTAGTGATTTTGCTGGAGTGACAAACTCTGATAGGAATGCGTATGTGCATGATCCGACATTTTTGATTCACACGAATAAATTTTTCTAGTAAAAAACAGGCTTTATTTCTATATACACATACTTTAATATGGAATGATTTAATACTGTATGATCTAAGGTGATAGAAAGAAAGCACAGATATACTGGGACAGGTAAAAATAAACAAATAATACCAATGAGTGGGTCATTTTCTTCCTCTAAGATGGCCATACCTAGGCACACTAACACCCACTTTTTTCATATTTTGATTTCTGCACTGGATAGGCAGCAAGGCCTAGTACATGTTTTTAGATTGGATTTCCTGCATTGTGAAACATACCAACCCATGGAAGTCCAAAGACAGACTTATTTCTAGTGGTAAATTCTCTACTTTGTCCAGAAGAGTGTACAGTATTGTATTTTTGAATGTGCACATGGGATCAATGGTTTAAACTTCCATCCGAATGATAGAATGCTATTGAAAAATTTTATTTCATTATACTGCTTATAATGTACCACATTTTTTTTTAAATTACTATTTATTGTAAAAATATTTTATAGATATATTTTTTAATATATGAATTTAGATCAATTTTGTAATTGTGTATTAGTTAAAAAATACCAATACATTAACAGGACATACAACATATTACACTAAGTTGGTAAATTTTTATAAATTACTAAAATTATCTTGGGCAACTTAAACAAGACAGTACATTTCTATATTAAAAAAAAAAACTTACTACAGTATATCTAAATTATTTTTGTGTAACAAAGTCATGTTGATTAACTCATGTTAATAATAACAATTGAAAAATCACTCCAGGAAGAGTAAATTTCTGTAATGGAGTGGTGCTCACCCTCCAATACCATGGTCCTGGGTCCAAACCTTAACTGATAAATTACTAAAATTATCTTGGGCAACTTAAACATGCCAGTACATTTCTATAAAAAAAAAAAACTTTTCATACTACAGTATAAAGTTATTTTAGGTTTAAACAAGGGAGTAAAAAATGAATACTCATGTTAATTATTCCTATACCGTCACTTTTTGTGTAACAATTGAAACATGTTTTGTTTCCCACTAAAATATTCTGTTTATTTATTTACACCTACATAGAGTACATAGGCCTACTGGTAGGCCTGTAACAGTTACAAAAGTTGGCCTATGTATTTTATGTTGGTTTTGTCATAAAATTGTCTGAAATATTTCATCAGTCATGGACCATTCTACTGTATGTTCTCTGTTAACTCAGTTAATAGTTCATAAATGACATAAGATCTGAGCGCGAACCCCTCGGACCCCCACCAGTGGCCTTCACCCCCTGGACTCCGTCTGGGGGTCCTATGCATTTCCTTGCTCCGCTTGAAAACTTAACGCTCTTTGCTCACTTATTAGGGGCCCCAATAAGAGTCAGGGCCCTACAAACTCTGTGACACCACTGCCTGTAGGGAGTGTATTTGATGTTGGATGTATAAAACTCTAATAAAACCCCAGTAAATGTAACATATGGAATGATAAAAATGAACACATATGTCACACGCTATTTTTATTGCAACTTATTTTTCAAGAAGTTGGAGATCATTTGAAAAGCTTCTGCAGGTTTCCATTGAGGAACCATGTGACCCGAACCCTTAACTGTCATAAAAGTTATCTTATCAAAGTCCTTGACAAAGCCAGCGACTTGATTCTTGTACATCCACTCTCGGTATTTCATCTTTAACGGCTGCTTCAAATTCTCGACGAACCACTCACCGCCGAAGAAGTTACACTGCATGTCTGTGTCGCCGTTGTAGATTAGTGCGCGGTAGCTCTTGAGGAGTTTGTTGAACTCTGGTGTCAGGTCTTCGTAGGTCTTCACATAGTTATTTGCAACATCATCACTGAAAAATATGAATCCAATTAATTCTGATTACAAAAAGCATCACGATAAAAGAGGGTGCACAGAGTTGTGTTAATCTAAATATATGATATTTAATGTTGAGGTACCGTAGGTAGACAGTACTGTACAGGCCAACAAACTTTCATTCATATTCAATTTAACTCAATTTATTGACGCTCCAAAAGCCATCAAGGGCTATTTCAAGGGCTTAATTCATTTGTGGCACTTCATTTGTTTTTTTAAGGCATCAGGAGATTTTTCTTTACAAATAAAAGATGGAAAGTGATTTTATATTGTATTTATTGTATGCTCCCTGTTATTGGTGTTTTCCCTGTTGGGGATTAAATGAAATAAAATAAACTAAAAAAAAAAAATTCCGAAGAGCAGGAGCAGCAAAAGCAAAGGATCTCAATCCATACTCTGTGTGAACGAATGTTAGGAATTCTGCCGGCTAAATACGCACTGCCATGTAACAATAGCAGCGGACATGAGGACTTACCTGCAAATGGCCCAAGTTGGTAGATTACTGGGAATGTGAATTGCCTTCCTCACCTCTGCAGAACTCAAGTACGCAGTCTCAGCTGATGCATTGATACAGATCAAAGACGAGGAAAATTTTAGCTTACCCAACGTTGGTGCGGGAGACACTTTGGTGCGGTTTTTCTGTAAGGAAATACAGTATATAAAACAAGAATATAGACATGGTTTAGAGCACAGGTGGGCAGAGAGCAGCCTCTATGTGTGCAGCCCGCCAACATTTTTGACTAGAAAAAACCTTATTTTTTACGGCCTACCAATCATCTGTAAAAAGTACTGTTAAAAATGAGAATACAGTGGTATGTAAGCAGTGCATGAAGGTATTTGGATGCACACTGTAAACATCAAAGTTTGGGTGTGGCCCTCTGTGTTAAATCAAAACTTCATGTTGGCCCTCTAACCGATTTTTATGCCCACCCCTGGTTTAGAGCCTAACCTACTGTACTATAATGATATCAAGAAATAAAGGCATATTTATTGTCGACAATACAAGTTACAGTCAAAAATTTAGATCCAGGTGCTTAAACAATGGGTTAAATATATATAAATACATATAAAATTAATTAAAAAATTATTTTAGTTTTGTAGTACAGGCATTAAATATACAATATAGAAAATATATGTAAACAAAGCAATAGTATAAATAAAAGTACATAAAACAATGGCCAAGTAATATCTAGTCTTAAAACAGGCAGCCAAGTTGAATCCAACTGTTTGGCAGGCTTTAAATACATTAATATTTCATGAAAAATAACACTACACAACAGTGAATAATACATTTTAATACTGTACAATATACAGATGTTACCTTTGCATGTTGAATCTTTACCCAGCTGGATTCGAAGTCATCAAAGACACCCTTCATATCGGTTACATATCGATGGAGATGTGGAGGAATTCCCTTATAGCAATCACTGTAAAGTCCATATGTATTCAGTCCAATGTCAAACACTATGGAATGGACCATATCAACCTTTAAAAAGAAAATAACATTATCAGGATAAAACTACAACAAGTCCCACAAGTTGCTGAATCTCTCTTGGAAATTTGGACAGCCTTCCAAACCCCTGTGAGCGAGCAAAAACTTCTACAAACTAACACATCAAATTCACGATAGTTCTGTTTGTTTTCTGCTTTAGGCCTATCAATACCAGCAGTCAACTGGTGATGGGTATCACCACACATACAGAATATTTTTTTTTTCATTGCAGCAAAATAAAATATTTAGATGTGTTAAGAAGGAACATTTAACCAGATCTAATAAAGACACTTACTTTATATAGGATCATCCAATCCTGTCATTAGCAAGTTTACAGGGGTCCTAAGTTGTAAGAAGTCATTTCCGAGAGATTTGCAGTAGCAGGTCCAAGAATTTGAAATAGAGAAGCCAGTGAGAGTCTTTAGAAGGTCTAAAATTTAAAAATGATTTTCCTTGTTTTTTAATTTTTTTTTTATAATTTTGAAAAATTTAGGGTGGGGGTGCCTTGAATCTGCCACTGATGTTGTTAATGAGCTTTATAAAACATTTTATTTTGCTGCACATTGTGATACCAATTGACTTCCGAAAGACAATTTGATGCAAATATTATGAATTTGTAGGAGATGAGTTATTTTTGCTGGTGTGCGGGAGGCCATCCCGACTTCCCGGAGACCCCGCGAGTTCTGAGAGACTTGGGACCTATGAATTTACATGCTTTTGAATATGAAAGGTCAAAAAATGGCCTTATGAGTGTTCTGACATGGAGTACATACCCTACTTTTACAGTCAATATTTGTGGTCTTATAAAATGTGCAATCATCTCCTGTACAGCAATATTGAAGCATCTCTTCCCACAGCCTAAGAAAATAAGAACAATATGAACATGATGACGGTAAAAGCGACAGAGGACGACAGCGGAAACGATGGAGAGACGAAATTCAACAAAATTGGGGATATGCCAACTGGTATCAGAGGGCGAGATCGAGACCTCTGGAAGCGACATGCTAAGGCCTTCGTCCAGCAGTGGACAGACCATGGCTGAATATGATGATGATGATGATGATGATGATGATGATGATGATGATGAAAATATGATATAATACAGCAATATTAAAGATATCCTTTTTGAGTGGAACAATAAAATTTGTTTTGGCATTGCTTAATATGTATACATTTTCAATTGAAAGAAATATTTTTCCTCTTAAACTATTAGATGTATAATTAATACTGTTCCTACAATATTCTTTGAATAGATCCTTAAAATTGACTGGTAATCCATTAAAAAATTGTTGTAGTTGATGATTATGATGATAATCAGATGATGATCAGATCAATTGGTGAAACGGTGTGGTGGAGGAGTGGCTTTACTCTCTGTTAGCCCTTGATTTGCTTTTATTTTGCATGGTCTCTGGTCTTGGACTTTTGGTTAGAATAGGTTAGTTGTGTGTGACCTGAAGCCATAATACCATACTAGGTACGCTAGTCACTGGTAGCCAAATATTCTGCCAAAGAATGACTAATAATAATAATAATATAAATAGCACTTACTGAGCACCGACGATGCCATGCCAAAATGCAAAGTACATGAGAGAATTCACATTAAGTGGACGGCTCACAAGTGGATTCCCGATGGCAAATCCCTGTAATAGATTAAGATACACAGTACAAAATGAGCTGTTTGATTCATTCAGCTTTTATGATTATGATGATAATAGTGGTGATGATAATATTAAAAATTTCAAAAGAGCAATGGTGTAATCTACATAAAAGATTACCAACCTCTCTGTTTTTCTAAAAAAAAAGTGCTAAATTGAAATGTTGATGGTGGTAACTTATGACAACAATGATGATGATGATAATGATGATGATGATGATGATGATGATAATGATTATTATGATGGTTATAAAGAAAATGATATGGTTATGAAGATGATGGTGCAGATAAAAGATGATGATGATAATAGTGATGATGACAAGGATACTTATATAATTTATATTTCCTTGGGAACTCATTTTCTACATTCTATTCTATAATACCATGTATATTTCATTTGTTATAAATACAGTAGCTTACATGAATATATGATGATGACAATAATAATGATGGAAATACTGTAGATGATGGTAATACTTATGGTTTACTATAAACTACCTGCATATTAATAGTATTATTTCCTTCTAGTATTTTAACTGCTAAAGTTGGTACATACACACCAGCATAACTCTCTCCAGTCAAAAATAATTGGTTTGATGTGAAGTTGGGATACTTCAGAAAAAAATGCTGCAAAGCTTGATAATTATCCTCAGCAACCTTGAGAAAAGGATACAATTAATAACCAACAATTATATTTAATTACCTTCAATCAAATACAAACAATTATTAATTGGATATGGACTATGAATCTTAGGAAACAGATAAGCATTCAATGGTAAATCACAGGGTCGTGAAATTGAATCCCAATGTGAACAATATACCATTACTAGGCGTATTTATCACTAATGGTAGTATTTAGTCCATACCAAAGTTACTATGTAAAGACAAAATATTAGGGAAATTGTAGAAATATGGATATTATCGGTATAGTGCCTTGGCTTGAAATCATTGCTCAACCCTCCTTCTTCATCAATGACAACTTACTTCATCATCAGTAGTTTTGTACGTTGCATCTGATGAATATGAGAATCCAACACCTGCTGGCGATTCCAGATAAATCACGTTTGCTAATAAATTCCACCGAAAAGGATTCAATGTTAGCGTCTTACCATCATTACTTGGCTAAGAATGAAATTAGAAAAATTAGTCATATAATACAGAATTTACTACCACGCAATTTGGGAAAAGATTGATCTTATACAAAAAACAAAGATGTTCTCCCATCTACGGAGGATGGAGATTAGATACTGTATTTACTTTTTATTTTTCAACATTTCAATCTTTTTTTTTTGTTAAAAAAAGAATGTCATAAAGTTTTGATTAAAATGTGCCATCTGAAACTTTATTAAAGTATTGTATATTGAGTGAATTCTGGAATAAACTCATCATAATGCAGATGGAGATGATGATGATACTAATAAATGGTGATAAATGATATAGTTGATAATTTTGATGAAATGAAGATAATGATGAGGTCAATGGCAGTAGAATACGAATAAAAAAAACATGCCAGGTGACCTGAAAAGACAGCATGCAACCTAATTGAAAACATTTGAACTATATTGTATAAAAACATTTTCAATTAAACTAAATTAAATTAAATTATTTATTTATTACCAGAAAAGGTCCATTCTCAGAGAATAAGCCATCAAGTGAGCTGCAACCCGGTCCGCCATTTAACCACAACACAAGAGGATCTTTAGCTGGGTTTCCTTCAGATTCAACAAACCTAGAATTTTTACCAAAAATATATAAAATATCCATCCACTGTTTATTAAAATTTGTTTTATTCTTTTTTTCATTCAGGTATTTATTATTTCCGTAAGTCAAAATATTAAAAAATAAAAAGTGCATGGATAATTTCAAACAAATACAGAAACGTAATTAGCACACAACAATAACATTTTTGGATGTAGGCCTCCCTCGCTAAACCTATGGTTTAAGGCCTGGGACACCCACTGCCACGAAGGGAGTTTCCGTTGTCTTGTCGTCACGACGGTGCAACTTACCAGTAATGGAAACGTCTCGTCCCGGTTGCATTCAAATAACCAGAATATTGTTTGAATCTCACGAGGTTTGCGGATATTCCTGGTAGTGATATTATTTCATCTTCATTTTTCTGTGAATATGCCAACGCTAGGAGAGCAAAAACGATTAAAATACCAGCTAAACTCTTCATCCTGTAGGTACCTTCTACATCAAAATAAGAACGGTTGTGTTGTGTTAAGTCATGTGATCATTCCAATTCTAAAGCACGTGATCTGGAATTTCCACCTGGGAATGCAAAGGATCCGTAACATTTTGACTATTTACACGGCTTACGGTTAATTACATGAATGGGTAGGCCTACTTAGTTACTGACATGTATTTAAAATAGGCCTGTAATTTTGCTCCATGTCAAGTCAACCCTTAATTATTAAGAAAGTGGAGAGTCGATATAGTAGGCCTAATGGGCCTACAGTAGGCCTGTATACCCTAGGCTTCAGTAGACCAGAGCGAATTAAAAACAAACTGAGAGGTTCAACAGTAGGTTTGATTAGGCCCCAAAAATGATGAGGGATGGAGGTTTTTTTTTGTTGTTTATTTTTTTTGCTAAATAACCCCGCCCCCATTTTACCGATGTTCACAAGTCAAAAAAAAAGTCAAGAGTGGAATCAAATTCAATATTTAAAAAAAATGTTTTTGTTGTACCAGTAAACATATTTGCAAGAAATCCTGAGCGTTTCAAGTGAAAAAAAGATGGAAAAAGGACCGTTTGAAATAAAAATATATGTTGATTGAAAAAAAAAAAAAAAAATCAGATTTTCCCCAAAAGTGATGAGGGAGCGGGTGATAAACTAATAATTTTTTTTATGGGCCTTAGACATATTTATTACATATTTATTAAATTTAGACAAATAAAATTGATTTGGACAATTTTATCTGAAGAGTGTTGCACCATGTATGTGTAGCACGAATAAATAGTAATAAATATATCTAATCAAAGTTGAACCTCTCATTTTTGTTTTTACATACAGACATATATATAT